CTTCGGAGGGAAAAGCCTTTCCTCTTCATAAAGTTAGTTAGCCAGCACCTGCTCGCTTTAAACTGGCTCCGCATTAGACCTTTTTCTAAGACTAATTGCATAGCCCGCACTTAGAGCAGTTCTGCCGTCACGGGCCGCTGTGCTGCTCGCTGCTAAAGCACATACTCGCCGAGCAGCTCTTTAATTTGCGGAAACCGACCCTGCTGTGGTCCACTGAAGCCTTTGCGTAAAGCTTTGCTGTCGAAAATCTTCTGCTTTTGTTTCCGCCGGTCCCGCACGCACGTTTCGAGAACTCCGAACGACCGCGATGCGGCCCGATTTCCGCCCGTTTCTGCACACGCGATGACTTTTCTTTTAAAAGCGGCATCGTGGTGCAATCGAGTTTTTGGAGTCGGCCATTCCACGCCGTCGATGCTAATGCACTACCAGATGACGAACTCCTCAGCACACGTACGAAGTGCCGCACATGAGAAACACATAGGCAGAAATGGACGACGCGCCATGCCGACGCCACGACCTCCTCTATAAAAGTTTATAGAGGAGGTCGTGGCCGACGCACGTAGGGGGCGGCCATTTTAGATTTGCCGATGGCAATAGATTGGCCGCAATTTTTTTGTTCGTACTCGATTCTAACGCGCATGCGATTTATGAACTCGCTTAACCGGAAAAAAGGTGCGCGTTAGATTCGAGTAATTACGGTACTACATATGAACGAAAGAATTGTACATTTATGGGCTCTTTTTTCTTCGTCAGACACAATATTAATGAGATCTAACAAACAATCGCGACAACGAAGTTTAGAAGACATCCCCTATACTTTCCTTGGCATGACAGTCTGTTAGATCTTATTGTTATTGTGCCTAACAATGAAAAACAAGCCCTTGAATGTACACTTCTATCCTTCATTCATAGCGAAGGTCTTGTTCTGGCAGACTTTATGCCTTGATGTAGTATGCAAGGAATTATTGGTCAACTGACTCGTAATAACGTCATGTGCTACGTGACACCAAACAGGAGTATTCCACACTCACCACGGCGCGGGAATTGTTTCGGTGAGGTGTTTTTATATTGACCAGATTTCCATCCACAAGGAAAAACATCGCGCTTCGCCGCTAGCGGATGATTGCAATCAACACAAAAAACTACGAGCTCAGTAAAAGTATATGTGTAAGTACACTTAACTGCGTGTAATCAAGTGTGACCCCAGCTATTCCGCTTCGCAGCAGTAATTTTCATGCAGTATGCCTGTAGTATCCGGCACCAAGTCATTGCTGTACTCTTTCGCAGGCCACATGCCGATAATAGGAGATACAGTTGCGAACAGAAAAATCGGACACCGATTATTTGGACATGCATTTATTGACACACGTCATTCATCATTGTCGTCGAGGCACTCTCTTTCGAAGCTCCCTTGTCGGAAATGCACTCCCACGGCAGGTCATCCTCAGTGCTATCAAGCGTGTTCGAGATGAAGCACTTTTTGAACGGCCCTGCCACGGTGGTCTAGTGGCTAAGGTACTCGGCTGCTGACCCACAGGTCGTGGAATCGAATCCTGGCTGCGGCGGCTGCCTTTCTGATGGAGGCGGAAATGTTGTAGACCCGTGTGCTCAAATTTGGGCGCACGTTGCAGAACCCCAAGAGGTCGAAATTTCCGGAGCCCTCCACTATGGCGTCTCTCATAATCATATCGTGGATTTAGGTCGTTAAACCCCACAAATCAATCAATTATCCACGAGCACAGCATCGCTGGCAAGGCCCGTTTCAGCTGTCCGATAGCGGTCGCTTCTGGTTCTCCAGACCTCATCCCCTCCGCATACAGGCGCTTGACATATTCTTTAAATGGCTTACTAAGGTACACATCAAGCGGTTTCAGCTGTGATGCCAGGAGGGATGACGATGAGCTCGGTGCAAGAGTCGCACAGCAGTCGCTTTACATGAGTCAATCGGTGACATCGAAACCCGTCAAGCACAAGCATCGAAGAGAGCCCCAGCAGTTCTCCGGGCCGTCGACACCACACAGACTTTATCCAGTCAAGCACTAGTGATTCGTTCATTCGCCCCTTCTCCTAGCAGCTGTGGACAACATTTTTCGGAAACTTTTCGCCCTTTGGCAGCGTCTTTCATTTGAACACCATATAGGGTGGTAGCTTGTGACCGTCTGCAGTGCAGGACAACATTACAGTCACCTGCGTTATTTTGTTTCCAGCTGATCGCACGATGACTTGCCTGGAGTCTTTCTGATGCACAGTCAGCACCGAGGGCATATCCAGGTAGACCGCTGTTTGATCTGGCCTGGCTGAAAGGGGGCAGCCTTTCGCAACGCAATTACATAGCTTTAAAACTTCACAAGGTCCTCTTCAGTAGCTCCTACAAGATCGTCGTATGCCGACGTAAGGAGAACCCAGCGCAGCGCGTGAAGAAAGACACCCAATGGTTGCTCGCTTTGAAATCCTTTGGCTGAATGCCTTTGTTTTGGATGATCTCCCTTGCCTTCGCTTGTAGCAGCTCAATGTTAACAGTGAGATGTTAACAGCGAGATGTACAGCTTGCTGCTTTCGCACAAAGTCTGCAAGTTCTCGTCCCACATCAAGAAACGCTTCATTTTTTGGTCCGTGGAAACTTTTTCGCTGGCCACTGCAAGAAAAAAGGGCGTCCTGCTTCTGCCGGCCGCAAATACTCCGCTCGTTAACTCCAAACTGCAGCTTCGTGACGTGATTGCCAATGGTTTCGGCAACAGGGATAACTTTCCTTTGAAAAGTACCGTAATTACTCGAATCTAACGCGCACCTTTTTTCCGGTTAAGCGAGTTCATAAATTGCATGCGCGTTAGAATGGCTGCCCCCTACGTGCGTCGGCATGGCGCGTCGGCCATTTCTGCCTACCGTAATTACTCGAATCTAACGCGCACCTTTTTACCGGTTAAGCGAGTTCATAAATCGCATGCGCGTTAGAATCGAGTACAAAAAAAAAAAATTACGGTCAATCTATTGCCATCGGCAAATCCAAAATGACCGCCCCCTACGTGCGTCGGCCATTTCTGCCTATGTGTTTACCATGTGCGGCACTTCGTACGTGTGCTGAGGAGTTCGTCATCTAGTAGTGCATTAGCATCGACGACGTAGAAGGGCTGACTCCAAAAACTCGAGTGCACCACGATGCCGCTTTTAAAAGAAAAGTCATCGCGTGTGCAGAAACGAACGGAAATTGGGCCGCATCGCGGTCGTTCGGAGTTCCCGAAACGTCCGTGCGGGACCGGCGGAAACAAAAGCAAAAGATTGTCGACAGCAAAGCTTCGCTCAAAGGCTTCAGTGGACCACAGCAGGGTCGGTTTCCGCAAATTAAAGAGCTGCTCGGTGAGTATGTGCTTGAGCAGCGAGCGGCACAGCGGCCCGTGACGACAGAACTGCTCCAAGTGCGGGCTATGCAATTAGTCTTAGAAAAAAGTCTAATGCGGAGCCAGTTTAAAGCGAGCAGGTGCTGGCTAACTAACTTTAGGAAGAGGAAAGGCTTTTTCCTCCGAAGGGGAACATGCATATGCGAAAAGTTTTGCGGAGGAGTACGATGAAAAGCTTCACAGTTTTCAGAGGTTCATCCTAAACTTGCGGCACAACAACAGCTATCTGCTTGGGCAAATCGGGAGTGCCGATCAGATGCCTCTTTACTTGGACATGCCTAGCACCACAACCGTCGAGAAGAAGGGGGCGAAGCAAGTTCGCGTGCTGACATCGGTCCATGGTAAAACTGCACTGACGGCAATGCTCTGTTACACGTCAGATGGGCACAAGCTTCCACCGTACCTTATATTTAAATGGAAAACGCTCCCGAAAGGAGTAGTTTTTTCAAGTGGCGTGATTGTGCAGGCCAACGAGAAAAATGGGTGCACGTTGCAATCGATGTTGTACTTTTTTTTTCGTCGTCAAAACCGGGTGCGCGTGACAATCGAGGGCGCGGTAGAATCGAGTAAATACGGTTGCTGAGTACTGTCTGTGTAGTGCTGACATGGCGTAAAATCACAGGAACGAAATCGTCGCCGTCGTTATGGGCGCCAAGTTGAAGCAAAGGCCACTGACAGTTGATGCACGCGTGGGTCTGAAAGACTATCGCCTGCTAACGACACTAACACTACCTAGCAACTAGCGCAGAAGCGTGCAAACACCTGATAATGACAGCACCGCGCTATGCTGAAACCAAAACTTAATTTCCGCTGAAACATTTAGGGACACGCATATAAAACGGGGCTAAAATTTCGTGCCCTAAAATCTAGAAAACAAATGTCGTCGAAAGACGAGTCTTGCGTGTGGAGAGAGTGAACAATTAATTTGATGTTTTGCGCAAGAAAATCGGTGAATGGTATTTTGGAGGCCTTGCGTTAGAGTGCCTCGAACGTGCAGCGGAGGCGAATGAGCGCATCAAGCCATGTTACACGTGAGACATGAGCGCCATCTGGCTGTCTTCTTGGAAAACGAAGCATGCGGCTTTGAGACAGGTGTGCGCACCCATCTCAGAGGTGATAAGGTGACGAACGCAAGACGATGGGTAGGTGCCGCCCCCATCGCATCTTAGCAAAGCGCTGGAAACACTCCCCGTTCCGTGCAAGCGTTGCATGGCTAGCGCAGCGTGATAAGTGCAACGGTCCTTAAAATTACTTATGTATGCATTTTCTAGTAAAAGATGCACATGCAAATATATACGTGTTGTTATGGTGTCGCAGACTTGCACAATAATTGCGTATTGACAATTGCACAAGTATTAATGCTAAACCTTGAGCAACATTGGTGGGCACTGCAGATGGGGTCGGTCGTTTCAAATACCGGGTGCCGTAAAGACTGAACAAACAGACAAATGTACAGACAGACAGACAGACAAACCAAAATTTTCGCGTCGTAGGTCCCCAAGAAAGACTATCGTCTTTAAAAAATCCTGGGCTATACACCGGCTTTTACGGTATGGTGCTAGAAAGAGTGCTCGCGACAAACAAATATTTGGCTGAAGTGCTCACCAGGGATCAAGGAGAGCACTTCGAGTGATCCCCGCACCCGTGACAGCACCACTAGTGCTGGAAGGCAGTCGAGTGCACTGCTGCGGACCGCACTGACCGCACTGACCCCTAGCGACCGGCTGATCGACTCCAGGAACCTGAAAGGAGCAACAAACGAAAATGTCAGGAGAAGAAAACAACGTGGGCGCGAGAACAGTGAACAAGTGTGCATACTAAGCTTTCCCACTTCTGGTTAACTAACTGAAAATTGATGTTGACAGCAACAAGATCTATGTCCTCACGTGACATCGTGTGCGTCTTCAGTTTTCCTTAATTCCATTGTTTGGCAGTGAGTAATGAATTAATATTAATATTCTGGGTTTTACATGCCAAAACTCCGATATGATTATGAAGCATACTATAGTGAAGGGCTCTGGAGATTTCGACCATCTGGTGTTTTCTACAGTGCCACGCACGTTCATCCTCTGGTTTTGATGTAGTTGTTTTTTCCGCACAAGGACCATTATCAATGCTTGGTGCAGACTATGCTGCAATGTCTGGAAAGCTTCACTGTTGCTTGAGCTGATTCTGCCAAGATTACAAGAAGTACGCAAATAGTCAAGTTAATTTGAAAGCTTCCGTGAGCACCAGCGGTAAGGCTCGAATGTCCGATGTTGCATGTATAAATGATGACGCACCTTGCCAGAGATCAGATCAGAGACGGCCAACGCTCTGTTCGCTGCTATCAGTCAACAACGTGTGTTGCTTGCAGTGCGACTTTTGTTTTCTGGGCACAATTTGCCAAATAAAGAGTTTGGTCTTGGACATGTCACCTGCTGTTTTGTCAACATCACGACCCTGCAACAATAGCACACTGATGCAGGTAGCGCAGTACACGGGCCTACAGAATTTCACATCTGTTCAAGTGCAACCACCATGTCTGTGATGAAATACGTGACTTCCACATGAACAGCCCAGTACTGTAACCACTGTACCACTGAGGCAGACAAGCGATAAGCTAAAGAGATCGCATTTGATGAAAATGTACAAATGCTCATGAAATATCATGTCGCTGCGTAATAATGTTATTGCTACTAGTTTTCAAGAAAACTGATGCTGCCCAACCACCGACACAGTAAAACTAGCATGTTGTACAGCAGTGCTGTGGAGTTGCCACTCTAGAATGGAAATGATTCCAGAATCATTCCACATTTTCGAGACCCGTAATGGAATAGAGAATATGCTAGGAGAAATGGAATGAGAATAGAATAAGTAACATTTTGCCCGCAAGGTAATAGGATTGGAATTCGGTATTTTACCGAAAATAGAGCACGATTTCGTTTACTTGCTGTTGTTCAAACTTCAAACATTAATAGATCAGAGCCTCAAATCAAACAATAAAGCAATATTTTTAAAATGGCTTGGCTGATTACAAGCACAATGCGCCTACTACAAGTTTGTCTTTATATTGACTGTGTTCCTCTCAAGTTTGTCTCTATTTTTCGCATAACTGTGGTGGAGCGGAACTTCAATGGCAGCACCCTCCCCCCTCCCCTTACGCCTTGTGATTTTTTCTGGCCTCGCCGGCACCCCAGCTACAGTCCCCAGCTGTCTGCTGTTTTTACAAGCTTTACCTCTTTGTGCTAGCTTCTGTCGCCATCGGCCGACTCGGACAAATGTTCGAAAAAACGCTTCCCAAGTTGTGATGTGTGTTGACGTGAGCACATTCAGCACACAGTCGTACACGATGAACTGTGTGCACTCCTCTGCCATACAGACAGAGAGAGAAAATTAACTTTTGAAAGCATTGGTTCAGGAAGCTGCCTGAAGCAGGAAAGCCCACGTAACCACGGCCACGATGGCATCTCCCCGATTGCGGAAGAAAACCCAGGCGCCGAACTAAACCCCTGTTTGCTCTGTTCTAAGGGCGGCAAGGAAAGGCCCCGGTGGCGGAAGCGCCGCCACACGTCTTGATTAGTAGAGAAGCACTACCATAATGCATCACCACACAGGCTCTTGCGTCCAGCAGTTCACACTTGAGCAGCTCATGTTTGTGAAGTGCAACACATTGTTAGGTAGAGGGCAATTGTCTTACCTTTTTTTGTTTTCTTTTGAAACTTCGCTTGGTTCCTACGGCTCGGCAGATATCTGGGTTTGCATCACCAGCAAAAACGACATTGGGGAGGAATTTCCTACACCCTTAATAGCTACTACTGTAATATCATGCTCAAATTAGTCATGTAGGCCTGAGTACATGCTCTACTAAAGTCGAAGGCCGCAACGCTTTCTCTAGGTTCACCTTTAGTTAGCCAAAGCCAAGGGTAGCAAGATGTAAAAGTGTGAACAATCTGCCAATTTGTAAAAGAGAAACCGCAGTATAAGGTGGCATACAAACAAATGCATTATTCCAACAGATACTGAAGAGAGTAACAAATTAACCTCGGACGTTGGTTCTAATTGATACCCCATACGAAAGGGGCGAATACTCTATGCACAGCCTGATCTTTATCTCACCAGCAGTTTAGTAACTGACACTCGCAAATCACCTTTGCAACAAGAAAGACACTGCATAACTGCGCACAGGTCAACACAAAGTTCTCCTCACCCCATTCATGCTTGCGAGGCATGCTCGACAAGCGTGAGTGCTGACGAGCAGTGCGGCCCTGTGTTCCGTATTCGATGCAAAGGCACAAGGTGCCCGAGCGGTGGCGCACTGTTTTCTATAATACCAGCAGATATAGAGCATTTCGTTCCCCATTAACCAAATTTTAGCTTTCTTCATAATCACGACCGAGACGAGGCACAAAATTGCTTAGGCTCCTTGAACATTACTTTTGTTAACATGAAAATACGCTATGCATTAGTTTAGAACTAACAAATTTAACCTTAAACAATTAAGCTATCACCTTTCACTCAAACATGCTGTCCATTAGAATACTATATATAGCGGGAGAAGTGCTCCAATGAGAATTGGCTGGGTAGTTTTACAGCACGAGATACGCCACCAAGCTACTAACCCTCGACTTTGGGAACGAGTTTTACGTACTTTTGCAGTTCCTAATGCATCTCATGACACTATATTTATGGTGTCGTTCATTCTTAACTGAACAAAAGTATCAAGATGCATTTCCTACATTGAGGACTGAAATTGAACGACCCTGCCATTCCCAAAGTGGCGATCGGCCATTTTTTTTCGTTCCAAGGAATTAAAAGGAATGCAATTGCGGCAAATCCCAATTCCCAGAATGAAATTGGAATAAAGGCACCCATTACGCAACACTGTTGTACAGACAGGTTCACAGTTAAAGCGAACACTTTTGTGTGCACCATGTCCGGATTTCGCTCTCTGGCAAAAGTATAGTGGCTCAGATTTTCATAAGACCACTGCTGGTTGACTGTTTTGACTTTTTCTGATAGACTAGTGTCATGCACGAACAATGTTTCTATGCCTAATCGCAGTTATGGGGTCCTGCAGTATGACAGGCGGTCATTCGAGTGTTCCCTTTAACAGTAGATGGGACTGTATGTCTGTAGATCCCAGAAATAGGGCACCCCTAAGGATGTCATTCACTGACTGCATGCAAAGGTGCACCCACAGCACCTGTCTCGATTGGAGGGTAACGTCAGGTCCCACGGCCAGAGGATGAAGTTTAGCGTCAGGTAAGAGATAACCGCTTCCGAGCAGAGCAGCTGACCGCAAAAAGAACCTGCGCCCTGCTCCTGGTGCAGGTACAGCACCAACGGCCTCCGCTGGATCAAAGATCAAGGGTGATTGTTCATGAAACAAGGCCCAACTCGACTGCACACTAACCATTAATAATATTTTGTATTATCACACCAGTAAGTATACTGTGACCAGTGCTGCCAATATAGCTAATGTTGGAATGAAAAAATGCAGTGTAATAAAGGGATGAGATGACTGAAACTTATTTGGGAGCAGCTTCTGAAACAGCAAAATTTCTGTTGTGGAGCAGAAGAATCGCAATATAGAGAACAGTTAGCGGCACTTAACATGTCATTTTAGGAGCCTGAAAAAATAAATGTGTAGTGACTTGGGGCAAGTACATATTTTAATCAGCTTAGAATACACATAACACTGAAACAGGATTTTGAGAAAGTGTGGGTTACCACCAAGTACGAAATACACTACGTTTTTACACATGTAAACGTCATACATTTGAGAAAAAAAGATTGGGCGGTGAAGTAGAGAAAAACACCCGGCAACACTTTTCTAAGTAGCCATAAAACGGATTTGCGTAAGGAGCTCTTTGTCTCATGAATTCACCGCCACGAAATTTTCAGAGTACGCCCGGTACGTGCAGAGTTGCTAAAATTTGTCGCAAACTCCATTACTTTCTCTCTTGTCTTGTCCCGACAAAAGCACCCGAAGCTAAGCAGGCAGGGATGAAACGGGGAAAGAAAATGCGTTATGCACACCTCGTGCCCTTGAGCACTTTTTTCCTTTGAATGCAAGGCTTTTCAGTGCGATTGTGCACACATGCATGGACAAGTTGTGGCATTCTGCAGCAGCCCTAGTAATGAACGAGCGCGCCGTGCTCAAATTGGCCAATGGCTGATACTTAGCCTGAGACGTAGCGATTTCGAGCTAGCAGCATGATTTGTCCAGAGAAAAGAAAGCAATCTTTAGCCGACTTCGGGAATTTATTGTGAATTCCAGGCCACGTGCTGCGCTATATTACTTGGCACGCGTGTTCTCAGGAGTCTCGATGGCTAATAGAGAGAATTTTCTCACCATGCTCAAGAAGTGTTGCAGGGCCACCTTAAAGCTTGAAATTAGAGCAATATGGTAAATATAGCCGTCAATCTAAACTGCCGTGAATCCAGTTCACTGCGCGCAAGCTATTTCTACAAAACATATAGAAGCAAACCCTCTGTCACATGTGAAAAAATATGCGCGGCTAGGAACCACGTGCAACAGTGCAGCTTACCTCCCGAATGGGCTTGAAGCAGGACGCCTCGATGGCCTGTGCTAGTGTTCCCTGAAAGAAGGGCGGACAGCAGTCCCCGTACCTGCACAGTGCAAGAAGCACTGTCAATTAACATGAACATGAAGCTGCAGTAGTTGATGCTCAGTCCAATCATCGAGTCAATCAAGTTGGATGTAATGACACTGAAGCAATGCTGAGCTACCTGGGGGGGTGACAATCCAATGATTCCACTATAAGGACTTTGAGCTAGTGTTCTACCTGCGTCACATAAGCACTTTCAATCGCAATCACAATTGACAAGGATTCGGCTCCATCCAAATCTGGAGTTGCTAGATGGCCACTTCACTCTTGAAACATCAATCATTTCATGCGAATTTAGGGAGCCCCTGTTTGCCTGAACTGAGTGAGTTACAAAGTAATTAAGTACATAAGAATAACCTAGAATAAGTACAGAACGCGAGAAAACAAGACTCGATGTTCTAAACCAGTCTGTACGAAAGTTATGGGACAGGTGAATTCGAAAATGAGTCCACATCAAGCTGGAATTTCAGTCACAAATATTCCGCATACCTCAAGCTTTTCTTCAAAAGTACTTGGAAAATTCATTGTTTTCCTCCACTCTGTACTCATTCTAGGTCATTATGATTTTATTAATGACAGTGGAACCCTGATTATATGACTTTTACGGGACCACGAAAAATTGTCGCTCAATCTAAGAGCTGTATAATCGAAAAACTAAGATTATAGACAGTGACACTTAGCCTTGCCCGAAAAACTGGTGCAGATCCACCTGAATAAGCCCACGACACGACCTTAGGCCTATACAAGGAAGGTAGATTAAATTATTCGTGCCAGGTGGCAGCTAATGACAGCATTAGTTATTTTTTTTTTAATTTTGCAATACCCTTCAGTTTCAAAGGCATTATGGAGGTGGGTAAAGCATGATTTTATTTATTCATACAATGCTAGCTAAAAAAAAGAACAAACCATAAACATTGCGTACAAAGAGAACGGGTAAGTAGGTGCGTGCATTTATACAGTGCTAGCTAGTGCAAAACGAAAGAAGTGATGATCGGTCAAGATGGCTACAGATCCTGGAAGGCGGTTCCAGTCTACTGATGTTCTGGGAATAAATGAATTACTGCATGTTTTGGTTAGGCAACAACTTTATTAGGATGATCAATTCTAGTCAATAAGTAAGAAGGCTGAAAAATAAGTGACTCGCGAAGAGTTGGAATATCATAATAAATTTTGCGAAATAAACAGAGGCGGAAGAGCGTACGATGAGAGGCAAGAGACGGCAGTTCAAGTGAGTTCTTCATGTATAAATGCCAGCGTGACGACTGTAGTTGTGAAGAATGAAGCAAACAGAATTGTTTTGGATTAATGCAAGAGCATTTATTCGATTAATCAATTAATTTATTTATTCGTATAACCTAAAGGTCCATTTGGGCATTACATAGGGGAGTAGTTACAACACAGCAGGGTTATGTGCAAAACAGAAATATTTACACAGAACACAAAAAAATAATAAAAAGGTAAATGCAGAAACAAATTTCGCACCAAAAAAGACATAGTAATGCAATGTAGCACTCAGTATGGCATGAAATGAGGTGTGCGATAACTGATGTGATATTGGCACTAGACTAAACGAAAGAAAGCCACAAAATTTTACAGTTCTACATTCCACATCTCCATTAATCTGCCAACAAACATGTCGTGATCACGCACAGATACAACATCACTTGGTATTTTATTCCAATGATAAATCGCAAGAAACAATGGTGAGTCACGAAGGAAGTTAGTACGGGCAAACATGGGCTGTATTTTGTAAGCATGATCCACACATGGAAAAATGCGATGAGCTGGTTTAATCTGTGAATGTAAGAAAGATGACTCACTGAAATGAAACTTGTGGAAATGAGACAGCACAGCGATAAGCCTACGCTATTTCTAGAGTAGGTAATTTCAACGAAGTTTTAATAGCTGTTATGCTATATAGCCGAGAATATTTTCCTGTGATAAAGCGGGCTATCTTTGTTTTGAACGGCCTCAAGTTCATGAATAAAGTATTGCTGGTTTGGATTCCAAATAAGGGCAGCGTATTCCATTTTCGAGCGAACTAAGTATGTGTATGCGAGAAGTTTGGTGGATTGGTTAGCAGAGTGCAAATTTTGTTTAATAAATCCTAGAGCTCTTAAAGCCTTACTGGCTATTGCCTCAACATGAGCATTTCATGAGAGGTTGTGTGCAAGATGAACTCCTAAGTATTTTATTGTGGTCACATTTTCCACTAGCCTATTGTTTATTATGTAATAATTTAGCTCAGGTTTCGTAGTTCTTGTAAATTGAATAGACTTTGTTTTTGAAACATTAACTTCCATTTGCCATTGGCAGCACCATCGGGTGATTTGTTTAATGTGAGACTGCAGCGCACTCGTATCGATATGACTAGTAATTTGTCTGTAAATTACACAATCGTCTGCAAAAAGTCTTATTGGGGATGACAATTGGTTACTTATATCATTATCGTAAATTAGGAATAGGATTGGCCCTAGCAAAGTACCTTGTGGAACACCTGATTTTACCTTTACTAATGGAGACAAGGTATTATTAACGAAAACAGACTGATCGGACAGGAAATTAGCAACCCATTTACAGCTATTAGGATTGATGTTGAGGGCGCTCAGTTTCATATTTAGGCGGTGATGGAGGACTTTGTCGAAAGCTTTGGCGAAATCTATAAAGAGAGCATCAACGTCTGTTTTATTATGTATCGCTTCGTGAATATCGGTTATTAGTTCGAATAGTTGAGTTTCGCAAGAAAAGCCACGCTGGAAACCATGCTGACTTGCTAAGAAGAACTCGCTCGTGATTAGATATGTCATAACTGCAGATGATATAATGTGCTCTAAAAGTTTACATGGTATGCTCGTTAGTGAAATTGGTCTATAGTTACTGAGCATAGAGGGGTCACCTGATTTAAAGATAGGAGTGATGTGGGCAATTTTCCAGGCGTCTGGTACGCTACCACCATCAATAGATTGCTGAAAAAAGGAAGCTAAAATGTGAGAAATAACAGGCTTTATTATTTTTAGAATTTTTGTGCAGATGCCGTCAGGGCCGGGTGCCGAATTGTTTGGGAGCCTTTCAATAGCTCGTTCAATACCTTGGTGTGAAATAATTAAATCGTTCACGACCGAATCTAGAGTCGTGAACTTAAGGTCAGGCGAAATGGGATTTTCTTCTGTGGATACTGAACCAAAAAAATTATTTAGTTCCGTTGCAACATATGATGGTGAAAGAAGTACACCATCCTTGGAAATAGACACTTGTGATGATGAAGATGGTTTAGGGTAATTACCTTCCAATATTTTTTTTGTATTTTCCCTTAAGGGCGTTGTTATATCATTGTTGAAGAATTTGTCTTTCGCTGCTTCGATTTCTGTCTTACATTGCTTGGATTGTTCACGGTAACGCTTCCAATCACTATCGGATCGCGACTGTATGGCTTTCGAGTAAAGTCGTTTTTTTTTTTTTTTCATTTATGCTGCGTTTGACATGCAAGTTGAACCAGGCGCTCTGGGTTGACGCTGTCACTTCAATTTTAGGGATATACTTTTCCTTTAGATCGGTTAGCTGCGTCTGTATGAGATGCCAGTTCTCATTAGTTGTGCGCAGCGACAAGGTGCGCGAAAATTCCAAAGAAGAAGATGACAGTTGATTTATAATCATATCAACATTAGCACGCGTGTAGTTGTAGATTGTTTTCTTTGGCTTTTCTGGCTTTTTGTTCACTAAAGTATATTCAGAATGAAGCACATTGCACAATTAAATTCAGATCCAATACTGCAGCAACGTATTCTAGCTTGCTACGAATTAGAATCTTGTACATTGGTAGTATGGAAGTGAGACAAGTGTGGAAGAGAAGTTGCGACGAATGTACCCAAGCATGCGGTATGCATTATTAATAAAGGAGCGGATATGGAGTGACCAGCTTAGACAAGTGGTGATTCGTACGTCTAGATAACAGTAAGAGATGACTGATTCAAGTGGGATGTTGCTAAATAAATAAGTAGAAGGAGAAAACAATGTTCGAGAAATGCGTAATACCTTACATTTGTAAGTATTTAGTTTCATTTGCCAAGTCGTGCACCAATTAAAGATGGATTCAATGTCATTTTGAAAGGTAGCAATGTCATTTAAGCGGTTAATTTTGCAGAACACAACAGAGTAATCTGCAAACAGTTTTATGTTAGAAGAAACACATGAAGGTAAATCATCAATGTAAATTAGGAATAAAAGGGGACGTAAGACAGAACACTGTGGTTGAAGAAGGTGCGAGCGCATATTGATTCTTAAACCTGAAAACAATCGAATACAACGTAGGTAGATCTTTCTACCAAGAAATCAAATCCATAAATTGCCTGCGTCTGAGAACGAAACTAAAATCGCGTTGCCAATAGCCTCCCGTCAGAAAAGTCAGTGTCACAAAAGTCAGACGCAGTGTCATCACTATCTCATAATGGCGACGGACCACGAGTTTGCGTAGAATGCCTTCGTGCGTGACTGAGCTGCGCGCGTTGCAATTTGTTGGCTTGTGAAGTGCAACTAGTGGTGTCCCGCTCTTATCATGAATGCTGATGTCAAGGGAAAATAATTCTGCGCGGTGAAAAAAGCAGAGTCATGCCCTTATGCGGGCACAAGCCCGTGACTGCAAGTGCCACGAAGGAATGAAATCGGCTGCATTTCGACCAGAAAAAGCTTCGAAGGACCGAAAACATGAAGATATCTGCTTTTCAGCCGGCTGACGCTACTCTGTGTGGATAAAACTTGCCTAAGTAACGACCCCAGATACATACACACGCGGTCGAGGCTTATGTAGAAGCACATTAACTTCCAGGAGAATAAATTTTCCATTCTAAGAAGAGATTCTGTCTCACTGTATACTTCTCCAATCGTCAACCTAGGGGAACACAAGTTCATATTTTGCAATCATGAATATTTGATCGACGTTTAAAGGTATTTTTTTCCTTTCGGACGGAACCTGAAAGTTGTTGAAGATGCAGGGTCGGCATAAAACAACGTTGTACAACCAAGGTTTTCAATTAATATTTCTATGGGGATTTTACCAGAACCAAACCGATTCGTCGTAAAATGCAGGACGCTCCAAAACAGGGGGACGTATAATTGAAGTTCCACTGTACTCGGAGCCTATGTCAGTTAAGACAAACAGGGGCTCCCAAAATGGCACTTGAAATTTAAAAACTACACATGGTACTGGGGGAAAAATTACATACTTGAAATCAGCACACAAATATACATGAAGCAGTGAGTTTCATTTATATTGCCAAAAAATTTTAAAAATTATAGACACTGTTATGTTTTATATGTTCCCAAGAAAAAGCAACAATTGTTGGTCCCCGAGAAAGCCTGCAGCTGAGCTCGCGCAAAACTTACCGTCTCGCAAATGCCCGGGAAAAATGTTCCACAGCTTCTGCCTCATCCTCCAGGCCTTCGGGCACTATACAATGAAAAAACATTTCTTTAACATAACTACAATGTATTTTTGACATGGTAATCTTCAGAACAACAGGGGAATGACGATGTGAATCTCCGATCAAAACTTTGTCAGTTTTAACTTAAAAGCTCACTAATAGATGCCAGAATATTTTCCGGGTGACGAAGTGAAACAGGTAACAGGAAGTGCCGAATTTACTCATGTAATGAACTCGCCCCCCCCTTTTTTTTCAAGAAAAATGCCAATTAAAAGGAGGGTTATTTACGCGGGAGAAAAAAAGTCAAGGGAGTTATAAAAGCAAAAATTTTGCATGACGATATTAAAAAACATACTGTCCAACTGCTGCAGGACTACGGAGCCTCTATTCGAGAACTTCGCTTTCCATAGAAGAAAACTCCTTGTATTGGCCCACAAAATGCGCGTCGTACCTTTTTAGTAGCCCGAAGCTTTACACACGCTATCTGCACAACCACGCCTCACGTGTCGAGACACCTGCTGCATGCAAGCGGAAGGTGAAAAAGTGTTGTTTATACGTCATTTCACCCCCTGCTTGGGTGTGGCAGGTGTCCCAGCACTTGCGACGTGGCAGAGCGGATAGCATGGGTACAGACCAACGCACACGGATCGACGCTGAAAGTGTTGTCCAGCCGCTTGATTCCCATGCTCCAGCGCACGCTCGACCAACGTTTAGTTTCAAAATGGTCATGTTGCTAGCACACTAACCAATCCTCAACAAAAACGCAGGTGTTGAATGGCAGTGCATGCACATTGTGTGTGCACGTTGTGCCATCAGTGCGGTTGCATTTTTTTTTTGCTTTGTTTTTACGCAGCCGTGCTTGAGTGGCGCTATAAGGTGAAGGTTTCTTTTGCGTTCGACAGATGGTGTTGTGCCGTAAAAGGCGGGACTTTTAGATTTCAATCGATATTGTCCTCGCTTGCGATGCTGGCGACTGTTTAGCATGGTTGTTAAACTATGTTTCGACTTTTATTGTGCCGTTATTATGTGATACAATGGTGTGATTTGAAGTTGTTTCGATCGTCAAAGGTAACTGGCTATCACACCAAAAAAAAAAAATGCACAGGTATATTTAATAAAAAATTTCCTTTTTAGGCCCAAGGTGGGGGGCAGGTTCATTACACAAGTAAATACGGTATAAACACTATTCAGTCATTTTCTGTGTTTATGGTGACGAGCGATGGCAACGAGATAGAACGTGATTTCATGAATTATGTCCTTCATATATAGAACAAATATATTTGGAAAGAAAACAACATGTGCAGACATAAGACAAGAAGCAAACAAAACATTGTTTGAATATACCATAGAATCTTGGTGATACAAACCAGGTGTCTAAGAATTTTTAAAATTCCATGCTCAAACTGCATTGTGTATGATGGGCAAGGCCTTGGTTCTTTAAACACTTTTGTGCATCGGGAGGTACGAAATTGGGTACTGAAACTGACGAGCTACAGTTGACAGCAACGTGCTTAGCTAACTTCAGAAGTATGAGAGTGTCCAGCACAGAATTGTGCTTATCATCAGCCGATACTACTGCTATGAAACATTTGTGGTTACCATCGATGCAATCACGTACGGTGGTGATAAATCTTCTAATGGCACCCCATGCTGACTGAGCTAACGTGATGCAGCTTGCTAATACCACTGTCGACAAAACAGCAGCAGATGCAATCATAGAAACAACGCATTTTTGAAAGCTCTAGCATGCCTAGTGGGCACGGATTCAAAACTGAACTACTGCTTGCCAGAGCCGCTGCACACGAAACTGCAATCACTATAATCATGATTATCAACAGTTGCTACGCAATTCTAAAAGTTCGTGGCTAACGTAGTGGTAGATTAGAAGGCAATAAAGCCATGAAAAAAAAAAAAAACACGAAGTGTTTTGTTGTTCCTGCCATTCAATTATGACTTTGGTGAAGTGGGCTTCGGTACATACCTTCCAGTTGGTCTTAGCGAAGCTTTGACATGCACGTTCACGAAGTGCCACAGTTGCGGAAAAAAAGTTAAACCTCTGGTGAGCACCTTTGTGGAAGAAAGTTCCAGAAAAACATATGCAAGTTCTTTTTAACGAAATAAATTTTATGCGCATGTATCATAGCTTGAAGACGGATTTCGCTAGTTTTCTACCGATATGAAATCGTGGGCGATGCGAATATTTCCCTCTACTCCAGCCTTGAGATTCACATCGCTGAGATTACACTGTATTTGACGAACGTGTGGCGGACAAAGGAATGGGGAGAGACCTGACAATAACTGTATAAGCACAGAACGACCTGTTTTCACTGATCGGTACATAAGATGCGACGCCTGGGGTTTCGCCCAGCCGTGATGAACACTCACTCAGAGGTGCTAAAGCAGTGTTGCTGCTTTCAGACGTAATCAGGCACTCATTGGCATCCTCGAACTCGTCCGCATTACTGCTATCACTCGACAGCAACTCTGCCTGCAAAGGAATGCGTACACACACAAACGCTGATTCCCAAAGGTATCCACGAAACACTGGCATTAAAAGAGTTGGCATTGAAGCGTTTAAGTTTAGTTCAGAAGTGGAGCACAAAGTCGCTACTTTATCAAGTGCCATCTTTTCATACACAGACCGTACTCCGTCTTCGGAGGGTTGGCATATAGCTGATTTTTCATCACACAACAGATTAGTACTGCTATTGGTCGATAGCTGACATCAAGCAAGAGTGGCATTTGTATCAAAAGTCCTGCTCCTGACTGACTGCTCAAGGGTTGAAAGACGGGCTCGTTGGTATTGGATTACCCCACACTGAAGTATTGCCAGTGCAAACTGACGCTCCTTCTTTTGCATCCCATTAGTTTTCGCTGCCAATATTTCAGTATGAATCTATTTGCTCAGCTGTGCAGATAGCTTAGCGTCAAGTGTACTGAACTCTTTTAACAGACAACAAAAGGCCGCGCGCTGCACTGCCGTTCACGGCCACCCCATGCGGGAGCACTTTTCAAAAGTGCGGCACAGCAAGTAAGAAGCCTTGTCTTACTGACTCTTTCTTAAAACGCGTGCGCATGGCACTAAGTGATAAATGAATATTGATACGAAGTGATACCGCCTCTCGACTTGCGTAACCACACGCGTCATTAATGCTGCCCTCTTTGGCCTGTTCTAAATTTTTTAATAGTTAAGACAATCCCTGTAGATATGGAACTCTCGATAATGCATAGACTTGCAATTGCCGCCCGCGACTTGCGTAAAGCGCTCGCACTGCGCAGCGCATGTAAGCAATGTGTCCAAGCAAACGAACCACTGAACGCACAAAGGCCAGATTTGTTGAAAAAAAAAAAAAAAAAAAAAAACACACAGCGAAATGGCCGCCGATCGAAACACCAGGCTAGGCATAAAACCTTGTGTAGCTCCAAGCCGGCATACAACGACGCCTCTTAAAGCGCTTGTTGCGAGTTTCATTTACAAAACGGATCAGTATTGCAAATCATCGTTAATGAAAACTGTTCCACGTGATCGCCGATGCGTCATGAGTCATGAATAAAGTGCCAACTGAGTTCTGTCACCACGGAATCACAAATCGTGCAACGTGTCCTTAGTGCTGATACCAAATGGGTCTCTCGTTACATGCAAAGTAAACTTGCTAATCTATATGAATAATTGCCAATGGGGGTAAAATGGGAGCGGGTTGCATGCATTCTGTCGCTCATGAAACCCAGTTTGAGATCTCGCGTTCCAGAGCATCCAGGAGACATGTCGCATGCAGGGGGATGACTTCACATTTACACAACAAAGAACTCACAGCAAACGCAGGCGTGCAAGTGACCGCACGCAGCAGCGTCAACATGAAAACCGCAGTGACCGGAGGAACGCTCTGTATACGCATAACAAAGAACCCAAGTGTTAAGCCCGTTACACATGCCACTCATTAGGGTGGCTAACTCAGTGGTTTTCAATAAGCAACAATGTTGGCGTCAGAACATGCAGCCTAGGTAGCAGAAACAGCACGTTCGACGGACAGCGGTATTATTTTACTGAGATCGCACATATTTAGAACTGTCCAGAGGAGACCATAGCGGCACCATGAGTGGGGAAGCACGCCCATGCTTCCTTTCCCTTTTGCGGCAGCAGAGTTGCGAGGACACGTCAGTCTCTTCGAGATAGAGGCAATGAAGCCTCTTTCGAAGGGCCGTTCACCACGGGTCTGGTGTGCACTGTCTCCCTTTCCCGGCTCGCGGAAACGATTACTATCCCTTGGCAAGAGAAGGAACTCTCGTTAGGGAGAGGGTAACTAGGAGGCTGGTCAAAACGACTGTTCGGACAGCGAGAGGGTCTCCGTTGCATGAGCCATTGGACAGGGACGACCGACCTCCGAAATCCCTGCGAGCCAAGGCGATTCAACGACCAAAGTTGTTAGCCTACCCTTTGTTATCTTCATAGAGTGGACCATCCCTTTATGCAACGTTTATGCATTATTGCTAACGTAGCAATAAAGTGGTGTTTTCTTGACCTAGCCTGTTGTCTCATTCACCCTAAACCCCTTGTAGTTAAGATGACTCGAGCTACAAGAAGGGGACGTTAATCGTGCACGGTACAACTGGGTGCGGCTGGTACATTTGCTAGGCTTCTGCACCAGCCGTGTATAGGGCGGACCTGTTCACATAGGAACCTTCGTCAACAGGTGCAACGTTAAAATCACGCTTGGGCGTGTCTTATATTCTTGGTATTCCTAGCGGTGCCCGGAAAATTATGTATAGTCAACTCAGCCTTTTTTTTCCCCTGAAGCTGATGATGGCATCAAAAGTCTTGCTATTGAGGCTGTTTTGGAGCAGTTCGGCGCAATTTTTGCGATATTTATGCTTTTGGAGCAGCTTGGCAGCAGGAAATGCGCAATATGCACAGCGTCTCACCTCTGCAGACTCGAAAAATTTTTTTGCGGCGATATATTCGCGGGGCAATAGACACCCACTGGAGGCAATCAATGATTTCTTAGAAAAGTGGTTCAAGACTCCTTAACATTTCCCATCGTGCTATAGGGTGTCTAGTCTCAGTTCATGCAAGACTACCTTTTCTTGACAGAGTGTACGCTCAGGCACGCTGGTAATTAATGTTTACTTTTTTTAGCACACTAACAAACAAGGGCAAAAAGTGAAGCAGACAGAGTGCTACAAAAATGCTAATGCCAGGTTTCTGAACAAAGAGACTGGCAATTTTTATTCAGCACAATGCTAGTAGGACTACTACTGGCACACGACAGATTGAGAGATGAAGTAAATCTGCATGAACGAGTGGGCACAGCGTGACAATTTACTCAATCAAACGTGCCAGCCGTGAGGACGCCCTAGATTTGGGAACACCGACGCATTGTCCCCTGACATGGTTTCTTCAAAAACCAACCAAACATACCAGATTGATCCAGCATTGGCGTCTTGTGCACCTCAATCGGGACGTGAATGACTCACCGCTGACGAACTGGTGCCCCCGACATTCGCCACGGTCAGCCGATGTTCGTTAGCGTTACCAATGGCCAGGGACAGTGCCATCTGCGTAAGAGGAACACAGTAATAACAACGTAGGTGATGTTATCAGCGCTGCACCAATACGAGCCCCTGATAAGCCCAAAAACTGTCTTAGTAAAGAGAATATGCAGCATTTTGCAATTGCTCTTCTCCACATGCATCCCTGGATACAGATGAGATGGGGGTAGTGCTAAAGGTGACTGCACACAAACCAGGGCTCATGGTAATTTACTGATTTGATTCTCCTGGAACCCGAAAATCAGACCTCGTAGGGGAAAACCCGCTTAGATTACTTCGGTATCCCCATTTCCTTGAAACTTTTTACATGGAGGTAGTAGAGTGTGGTGGGTTTCCTTAATAAGCATACTGCCTTTTGTTTTCCTCTTTTCCATCTGAGCGAGCAGTGCGGAATTATATACAATAGACAGAGCCATAAAGCAATCATAATGTTGTAACACAGTGCAGAGAACCTGATTTCTTGTTTGTCTTTTCATTAATTGTAATGCAAGTTTCCGTTTCCATCATAAGCCAACCCCCACAACTTGAATGTTCAGTCCAACCTATAATCTTGAAAATACAGCCCTTTTACTTTTGCACGGCAGAATGGCAAGGCACGATTCCTCGCTGGATCAGGTATTGAATTTACACGGTGCTTAAAATTAAATGCTAATGAAGAGCATAAAACCGCTCAGTAACTATGAAGCTATGTCAGTTAACTGCCTACCGAAGAAGCAGTTAAAGTACATGATTGTGGTCCCACACAGGCGCTCACCTCATCCGGTGGTTGCGTTGGTGACAGCCAACCTATCCATCGTTGATGACGCACAGGTATGGATGTCAGGTCGCTCACATCTTGTTTCAGCTGCACGGAAATGCGGGACTGTCTAAGTCTCACCTACATGAGTGACACAATATGATGCCAAGCAGTACTGGTGGCCCAAGCAGAGACGATGCCTCTGCAAATAACAATCTGCACTATATGATTGATTGATTGATTTGTGGGGTTTAACGTCCCAAAACGACCATATGATTATGAGAGACGCCGTAGTGGAGGGCTCCGGAAATTTTGACCACCTGGGGTTCTTTAACGTGCACCCAAATCTGAGTACACGGGCCTACAACATTTCCGCCTCCATCGGAAATGCAGCCGCCACAGCCGGGATTTGATCCCGCGACCTGCGGGTCAGCAGCCGAGTACTTTAGCCACTAGACCACCGTGGCGGGGCGATCTGCACTATATCAACAGTTTTTGCTCCACAGTCCAAGGGTGCTGCAGGTATGGTGGGTTAATTAGCACAGGAATGACTTGCAATAAATTTATCTTTCAGCCCCCTAAGTGCTCCAGTGACATAAATTGATTCTTTTAAATGGGAGAACACGGAACTTGAAAAACTTTTTATTAGGGGTGCCCGAATATTAGAACTTTCAAATATTTTTAAAACAGTGTTTGCGATTCAATTTAATTCACACCATAATTTTACTATTTGAACTTCCAGAAAACAAATATAATGGCTTATAATAATAAAAATCATCATGCAGCACGCTTGGTCCTGCATTTTGGTGCGCTGGAGTGCAAAACTGCTAGACTTTCACAGGAGCTCCGAGTGGTCGTTGCACGACGATCTTGGCCGAGGGGTCCATTGCCGACATTCATAAAAAAGCCATCAACGGTAATGAGGAGCCAGCGAGCGATGCGATTCGTTGCTTGCAATGAAGCTCTGCATGTTTACTTTCGCATGTCAGCCAGTGCAATGCCCTTGTTTGCAAAAGGCTGAATTATCTTGTACAACAGCGCCGCAAGCACAGTTAAGCCTAGCCACGTCTTCAAGCAGTAAGCTCACTCGTCAAGTGCAAGACCGTGGCGCCAAATGTTTCAAAGTACTACATTAAGCTCGATCGTAAATACCAAAGTGCCGCCTCACAACAGTTTTTATCTCAAGGTCCAAAGTGCCAATAAAGCCTCTCACCGCTGAGTACGAGTCTGTGATGCTTACAACGAGTGCAGCGTGCTGTCGTATTCTCATCACTGAGGTTCCGCTGGTAGGTGCCAAACTAAAGCGTAATCACACTCCAAGTGATGACTGAGCAGTGACCTCATGATGCACAAGCACCAGACACAAGCAAAAGCAAAAGTTATACACAAGCAAAAGTTATGCTATGTTGAACATTTACAAGTCAAACTGCAGCTTCGCAATGACTCACTCCCGATGTATAACATACCTCATGTTTTGTTGAAATGAGCTTAGAAAATCCATATTTGTTGCACTGCATACAGTTCTGATAGCAGATTATTATGATACGTTGATTTCTTTTGTAACACGCTTGGTTTAAAAAAAAAAATCTTGCTGTCCAAAGGCACGTGAAATAGTTTGTTATTTAAGAACCACACATTACACTAGAAAAATAATCCCATATTTGAAATCAACACAGAAATATACATGTAGTCAACTAGATTATTCAAATCCTACCAAGAAAAAAATTTTCCATGAAAACTGTTCCCCACCTGTGCCATGTTTTAAATGCAAAAATCTGCAATTATCAACATGCACACAGCCTTGCCTCGTTTGGTAAACCCGCAAATGCTTTGAAGTTCACAGGCCTAACTTTATTACCACATCTTGATAGGTGTAAACAAAATCAAATAATCATAATTCTGAAAATACCTAATCAATTTCTGCACCATAGTTCTCTTAGTACACTTTTATTCCAGAAAGTCTATAACTGTGAACTTTCTTTCTGACCGTCACTTCTAACACAGGACTACATGTGTTGAACATAGCAGAAAAGTAATCCTTTGCTACTACTGTGAAAGGAAAATAGTCACATCCTGAATAGGCATCTCTAACAAATCTCTAACATGCTCACTTAAGACAAAGGAATGGCTCTACTTTGCTCACCTCTAGAATGGTTTTGGAGCCAGGGAAGGATATAGAGTATTCCTTTCCAGAGGTCTCGTCTCGGATGCGAAGTGTTACTTGGCTTCTGGTGAAAGAGACACCACAAATGAATGGCACTGAAAGCTAATTTAAAGAAAAGAGAAATAAATAAAATGTTTTCAGGCGCCTCATGAAGTGGAAATGTACATGAAGCTCTGAGAGGTTGAAATGGCAAAACAGCGCATCGCAAGAAAAGATCTTCGGTAGATATTGCACCACACATGCCGCGTAAACTACTCATACTGGTTGTTAGCTGCAGGTGGCGTGAAAAAAATGATACTATAAGTCCAGGACTTTCAGTGATGTTATTAGCTTTGCGATACTTTGCCCAAATCAGACCCCGATTCACTAAAGCAAATGACACTGAAGATGCAATGAAGCAGGCTCGTCGCATGCAGTGAAGTAAATCAATTAATTCGTTGTGAATATACTAAAAAAAATTTTGAAAATTTCAAATTTTTAGAGTGAATTCCAATACAGTAATATTCGCTTGAAAACTTAAAGTAAGTACTGTCAAAGTAACCTGCTATAAGGCAAAATTGGTTAAAAGATTCAATTCACTCGACTATTTGAACAAACAAACATAGTGCCAATGCCAAAGTATTTTCTAGAACGTAACACTGCCGTTCCCTAATGTTAGCAGCAAATGGATGAAACTGGCTCAGTACAAGTTGCGAATTGCTATCTGTACCCAAGATAAGCTGTCTTTGAAGTTCATTAGCAAAATCCTGTTAAATACAACAATCTGTAGCCTTAGATCACCCTGCTGCACATATTAAAAATCTCCACTGAAACAGCTGCAGCAAACGCTAAAAAAAATGGGCTCACCCTCCTCTGCTAGGTACAGTCTCTCCATACGACTGGCTGCTCCTTAGCATAATGCTACCACCAGGCGCCAGCTCCGAAGCCACGAAGGGTGTCTGCAGACAAAGTGTTAATTCCTAAAGTAAGACGCGACCAACTCATTCAAGTGCACAACAAACTTATAAAAATTATTTATATCTATAACCACGTCATTTATAAAAATGACTGGTAAGAAAGTGATACAGAGGCACCTGAGAGCAGAATTTTACATCTAAAATACAAACTGAACAAGTTCCAGAGAGTAAGTGAAATTTATACTTCTTTGAGCAAAACCTCAGCAAGGACAAAAAAAATAAATAATAACAGCGCGAGTGACGCCTACCTGACAATAGACTGCTCCTTAGTACGACATGCAAGATTATATAGCCCTATCCTGTGGCACCCTGAAATATCGCAGTGTAGTACACTGGCCCACGTCATATGCAGCAGCATCTAATCAAATGGGACCCAAAGGGGCAGCGCGACGAAGGTCTTTAGTTTACGTAGAAACATGCACGGAGTGCTGCACACGGTAGAAAGCCAACCAAATTAGGAGATAGTTCTGCTTAACCCCGTTAACCATTCAGGATGAGCCCAGCTTGTCTGCTTGAGATACTCTCCCCCATGAGTGTTTTCGATGAGACTCATTTGCCAGCTAGTTCATGTGTCGCCTCACAGATGCCAGCACTTGCTCAGCATTTTTTTTTTTTGTGGCTTGTGTTTAGAAAATGGTGTCTAGAGAAGGCAATGTGTGCACTGATGTCATGCATCAACTGAAAAAAGCCTTTGGACACTGTCCAGCTCTTAAAGCAGCCATTATTCAGACACCGAAGTTTATTTTGATTTTGGAAGTGAGAGTGATAGGATTACGACATCATTAGCAGTTCATCAGAAGGGAAGACTACTGAGAGTACACCATCATTACGCAACTTCATTATGCTAATTTAACTAAACATATGTAGCAATTCTTTTCCGACATTCAAAATCTGTATTTTAAAAGCATGATATTCATTATCAAATTCTAAAAAAAAATCTTTTCAGGCATAAAACTTCAGAAAAAAAAGTAAGATTCTGGTTATGCAACACGTATGCCCAGATTCTACTGTATCAGCAACACACCAGTGCATACGCGACCCATTAGAGTGCCGTTTTAATCCTCATAAAAAGAAAAAAAAATTGCACAGTAGCAAGCCCAGCGGCCTTGCTAAGATTCCTTGATCATAATATACTGCTGACCCTTAACCAGCTTAGGCATTGAAAATGCTGTTCAAGTTCGCCGTTGATTATCACGGTGTAACAGCACATTGACAAAACTTCATGAAAGTAAATTCAAAGGAGTTGACTGTTCGGTGATTTGGTGTTTGACATGAAAACTATTCTGAGAACGCAACAAAAAACACGATGCACACACAAGAAGGAATAGACGAGACTAGGCGCATGGTCTCGTCTGCAGTTGAACCTCTTTGTAAGAGGCGGTATGCTGCGGGAAGCAACTCTCGTCTTTCGTACGAGATGTTTCTTATAGGCAGGGTACCACGCATGCATTTTCCTATCAACACTTATTTTACTGTAAGTACTAGAGCTGTGCACCACCACTCCGCGCCGCCACCGCCCGTTTTTGCTCACGCCACTCGCACCCCCGCCAAAGTTCCAAGAGAGACCATGCCGCCGCCGCCAGACAATAATTTACGGCACGCCGCCGTTTATGTTATTCTCTCTCGAGTGGAGAATCTGTGCATAAAATACATCACTACATCTTTTTTTTTTTTCCTACAGCTTTAATATTTCTCAGAGTGGCATTTACTGCACTCTTGTTTTCGTGTTTACATGTGCTGTCTATGTAAGGGCCCTAAGACAGAATCTGAAGATACAGTCGAGTGAGTTATCCTCTCACGGCGATTCTAATTCCTTTGGCGCCATTTCGCGACGCCAGAACAGTGATCCACGTGACATGATTAAGGTACATACTCTAGAAGGGTCTATATACGAAAAATATGAGTTGTAAATTGTTTTCTACCTTGTTTTGCCATGCATTCACCACCCGCCACTCTCGTTCTTCCTCGCGTCTCGCTTGGGTTATCATGCGTGATGAACTTGTCATTTCACTGCATTTTGTGAGTTTCCGATTGCGCAAGTGTAAATGAAAAGTATCCGAGAGGTTTGAAATACTGATAGGCTCAACGCTTAGCACTCACATTGCACACATGCTTTATCAAGACAGTAAATACTGAAGAGCCAATAGGAATCGTAGTAGAGAGAGTGCAGTGTCGTGTAATCAAGAACGAAACTAAAGGAAAAGGAATTATTTCAGTCTCCAAGAGACGAATTCTTTACAGCGAAGACAACACAGCTCTTTATAACAAAGGCCAGTCAGCTTCAACGGCATTGGTATATTTGTTTAGTTGTGAGAAGAATTATATAGGCACTCTCTATAGGGCTTTCATTATCCCTGTCATGTCAAGGAAACTTTTTCGGACTGACATTTCTGTCATGTCAGTCTAAAGAAATACTTTTGTACACACACTCTATACTGTTTTCGTGGACTAAAATCCCAGGAGCCCTATATAGCGAGCAACACTGCTGAAGCATAGATTAAACAAGCTGCCCATCTCTATCGCACGGACGGCACATGCGATAACCTCACTCCGCGTGCGACCCCTACTGTCAATTGCCCCTAAACCAAACAGGAAGCCCCGTCTGCCTTTTGCTAGACGAAGGAGTATGAAAAGATACTCATGTAGGAGGTTGCGTGGCTCGATCTGCATCTGGGAACTTTTGATATAAGGGCGTGGTCGCGAGTGCTAGCGCATTCGCTATTTCAGCAGGCATTAGCGAACGGCTCCGTTTACATTTCCACACGCTATCATAACACTGTACGAACCCTGCTTTTTTCCTGGGAGCAGCCGCATTTCCAAACACTAGCGTTTTACAGTTTCGCAATGTCTGATGAAAAGAGTTAGCTGCAGCCCAAGCTCATTATGGGGCTGGGAGCTCCTATCGCACAATATAAAATGTGCAGTCATCGAAGGGTTTTCCGACCATAATACTGTTTAAGTTACCTCAAACTGTTTTGAACTTTCCTGAGGTTGATGGCACTTCCATACTGAACACTTTAGCTTCATCTTTTGGGGAATTTGAATGTTGTAGCAAAATTCGCAATATGTATGCACTCCTTTTTAGGTTTTGTGATTACACCTACCATCTGTGATAATGCCTAAATTTTGCTTTGATTTGAAAAAAAAAAGTAGGTTACACACAAATATGTTAATATAACCCCAGACACCCATGCACTCATAAAGATATAATCCATCTCACTCGTCGCACAAAGCGCTTATGTAAGAATCATCACTCCAAGCGTAGTGGCAATGCTTCTTGAGTTCATGCATTGAGATGTCAATAGAAGCTAAAATCGAGAAGTTAACAACTACTACTTGAGCAATGCCTGCGCTACACTTATGAAAAAAGTCCATCCAGGTTCTAGAGGTCGATTACTACTGCATCGTCTATGCCCTCATTGTTTATTCTTGATGGCCAATCCTCTTCAAATACGGAAGCTTTAGCAAATGCGTTTAATACTTACTTCAAATCTGCTTTTTTTTCTACCACTAATGGCATTACTCCATTTTATACGTGTGGCAAATCACCTGCTCTTCCTAATCTTGAATTGAGCTCCTCTGAAGTGCATAACCTAATAGTATTTTGAAGTTACGATACATTCTGGCGCAGACGATATGCCAAACATAATTTAAAGTGGTACTGATTATGGTACGCTAATTATTTTACAGTAATATTTAAAAAAGTAAATGTCTGCAACAATTTCCCTACTGCGAAAATTAGCAAACGTTGTGCTCTTAAGTCAGGAAACAAGCAAATAGCAAATTATAGGCCGATAAGTCCGGAAACAAGCAAATAGCAAATTATAGGCCGATAACTTTGCTTTCCATACCAGCTCCACACTTTTGGAGCATATAGTAGTCAACAAATACTATGTAGAATGCCTTAATGCACATAACCTATTTTCCCTATGGCTACACAGTTGCTTGAATTTACACACGACATTTTTCTTCCCTTTAGGCCGAAGACAGATTTATGCCATATTTATTGACAATTCTAAGGATTTTGACTAAGTTTTCCATGCTAAACCCCCCTTCTACCTTCTTTACAATTTCGGCAACAACAAGCTGGTTGATTGGATAACAAAGTACTTGCGATTTCATTACGTTGAAAAACGTGAAGTCATCCGACATACAAATCATGTTAGGGGTGCCTGGAGGCTCAGCGCTTGGGCGGCCTTTGTTTATTATTTGTATAAGTGACGTAGCTGAGATTATCAGTAAGACCCAAATTAAACTTGAAATTTATGCAGACGACTACGTTGTCTCATCTCTAATACTCAAGACCAACATGCGCTGATTACAGTTTTTTTTTTTGTCGTTTTTGTAACAGGAGTGAAACATGGCAATTGAAACGTGACATACCGTAGTCACGACATTTAAAAAAAAGAATGGCCTCTTCATTTTGAATATACTAATGACGGTGTAAGTATAGTACGTGCCACAGAGCTTAAATATACGTTGGTGCAACTCTCCCAACATATTTAAAATGACACAATATTTCGAAACAGTACAATATCTGTGAAAGCATTAGTATCTTCGACTCAGGTTAAGCAACTAGACAAAAGGATACAGACTGACAGCCTATAAGATTTCGGCCAAACTCGAATAAGCGTTGGTTGTTTGGTGACCTGACATAGCTATGTGAGAATCTGATAAAGAAAGCAATACTCCTTATATTATGCTACTTTGACCAGTGTTTCTCGTTACTTCACATGCGCATGTTTTATTGCTGCAGCCCCTGTCGAACATAGGCGCACTTGCAAACGTGTCATCTTCCTGCATAAATAAAACAGTTCACACTGATTACAGTGTTCTAGCATCTATACCCTTTGTTGCACCTTCTGCTCACCGTACTCAGTGATTTGATTCTATGAATATTGTGCCCGATAGATCTAATATAAATTGTTTTTATTTTCTTTTGTTTCTTGTTTGCTTTTCTGTGGAACATGCATTTTCATAATTAGATTCATGGCTACCTGAGCAGACTTGGCTCTGAGCAATTGGAAAAAAGCATTGCGTGAACATCATCATCATCAGCCTGATTACGCCAACTGCAGGGCAAAGGCCTCTCTCACGATCCGTCAATCAACCCGGTCTAGTGCTTTCTGCTGCCGTGTTATACCTGTGGACTTTTAAATCTCATCGGCTTACTTATCTTTCTGTGTCCCCATTGTGCGCTTGCCTTCTCTGGGAATCCAGTCAGTTACCCTTTATTACTAGCGATTATGCTGGCTACACGCTACATGCCCAGCCCATGTCCATTTCTTCGTCTTGATTTCAACTATGATATCCTTAACCCCGATTTGTTCCCCGACCCACCCTGCTCTCTTTGTCTCTTAAGGTTACACCTATCATTTTCCTTTCCATCGCTCGCTGCATCGTCCTCAATTTAAGCTGAACCCTCTTTCTAAGTCTCCATGTTTCTGCTCCGTCGGTAACTACCAGCAAGATGCAGCTGTTATATACCTTTCTCTTGATAGATAGTAGCAGATTACCATTTAATATGTACTATAACATGTATTTTGTTAAATTGTATATTTGAAGGTGTAGAACATTTTTGTTTACACCTGCTATGTCTTTTTGTTTACACCTGCTATATTTTTTACCGTGTTTCAGTTCACGGGAAAACTTGGCGAAATGGAAAAACCGAGGTCACGCAGCGTGAGCATCAAAGCATAACTCAGGGTACAGAATCAGTGCGCATCTCCGACAGATATCCCAAAGTAAAGACGATGAAATATTGGGGAAAGCTAAAAAATAGTGCGCATCTCCGACAGATATCCCAAAGTAAAGACGATGAAATATTGGGGAAAGCTAAAAAAGTCACAACCAGAGCTCTTTGTATTATTAAAAGTGGACTTTTGTGTGCCTCTCACACAGGCCTTCATGGTGAAGACATTATCTGCACTGCAGTTTGATCAGAACAGCAGTCGCGCTGATGGTGGGCTCCTTCTGAGACTATGCTAACACTCTTGACACAAAGCATTGAGTCTGCTCTACAAATTTCTAATTCGCTCAAGAAAAATATCATGAGCAAGAATGCAAGTGTGCAAAACCTGGAAGTGCATTACAGGCCTTCAGGAGAATCAGTGTAGAAGCTGCAATCCAGAGAGCACCGCTAGTCAGCTTCAGAGAAACTAGAAGATGCCATCGAGACCTTTTTTGAGAACAAAGAATGGTGTAGTTGGAGCTCAATCACATTTGACAAGTGAGCCAGTATCAGCGGAGATGGCACGCTTACCGTAAATGCTGGACAAGCAGCCGCGCCTTCCAAGAAGCACGAATGTGTTGATATTTTGGGACAAGTGCAAAGAGCGCCAACCGGAGCTATACATGTTAGCACAAGTGACCCTTGGTGTGCCAGCCAAACAAGTCAGCGTGGAGAGAGCATTTTCGGCATTGAAGTTTGTTTTGTCAAAGCAGCAGTCTCTCGCTATTCGGAAAGTACACTCGATGTTTGGCTGCTTCTGAAATCGTGTGCACCCTCTTGACAAAAATTGGGGATTCAAACTTGAGGGAAAATAAATATAGAGTTTTTGTTGTAGGCTTGCTTCCAAATTTTTTGCGGCTTCCCTCAATCATATCGTCGCTTTCTGGCGTAAAACCCTTACACTAATTAATACACTTTTGTTTGTTAGTTTATTTATTATTTTTCAGTAAGTGCTTTTAATATTGAATATTTTGTTATTTATTATTATTAAGAAACCGTTACGAACCGTTGTGGAAAGTTTTTTTCTTTTCCTTCCGGAACAGAAACGAAACGAAACTTTTGTCTCTGGATCGAAACGAAAAACATTTTGTTCCAACACCCTGGTCTACACCATTTCCATGCAACACAACCCACCTCATCTGTGACGTGGTCCCATCCCATCAGCGACTGGCGACATGGTGGGACGCACGTTTCCTGTGCAATCAATTGCCGCACATCACCTGGGCGAGAAAGGCGGCACAGACATCCATGGTTAGGGCAGTGCCAACGTGGCTAAAGAAGACAGCAGCTTGCTATTGCAGTTTTGCACAGTTAAACAGATACTAAAGAGCAAGAAAGATTCTTCGTGTACCAGTAAATTACACTTTCACAATACTGTAAACATCCCTCCTACCACTACACGATGCTTGGTAAGCGAGAAAATGAGCGAAAGGAACATGCAGGTGGAGACACCACTCAGAGATTCCTGCCCAAAACACCATGATGCCATAGATTTTGAGAGCATCTACTAAGTCCTACGTAACTTCTAATAGATAAAAATAAAGTACATAGTCATCAGTGGGTGCCATAAACCTAGGAAATGGCGTTTCTGAGAAAATTTCATCGAGCCCACGTCACAAACGTGCGAAATATATGATTTGAAAGGTTTGACAGCATGCGTGAATATTTCAACTCGAAATTCAAGAACAAAATTCAAACATTGATTTTTTTTTTCACTAATAATATAAACTTATGATAGTGAAACATATGGCATTTGTGTTTTCAGATGCTGTTCAATCAATTTGAGTCGTAGCTTCTCTTTACGGTACCTTTTTATTACATGGAGGTGAAGGGCTGAAACTTGCTCTGTTAATATTAATTTTTTTTAAAATATACCCGCTACCAATATGCTAGGCATTACTGTTATGAAGATGAGCACTCAGTCTTAGTTGAGATAAGAGTTGAGCCTTTACTGAAAGAACCAACTTCACTGATATGACAGTAACTCAGCAGCTTGCTCAAGGTGCGTTCAACGACTTTTCTGGTTTGTAAACCATAACATCTTGGTGACTGGCGAAAATAATGTTGACTTATTAGTGTGTAAATACCAAGTGCAGGGGTATGCAATCAGTGGGAGTTATAAACTCACCGCATGTGAGCCCCTGTCGCGGAAGCGTCAGGGCCACCGCCCGGTCCCGGTAGATGAGCTGGATTCGCTGGACAGAGTCCTCTTCCGATGGCAGTGACTGTGTTTCCCGAGGCAGTGCGTTGTGTACCGCGTCCTGCACATTTTGAAGCCCCACAAATTTGACAATCCACAATGCTGCCTTAGCCTTATTAGAATCTTCAAAATAGAGTGCGAGCTTTCAAGACTATAAAGTGAGCGCCCACCACGAGAAGAATGGAGAAATTCAGTTGCCTGCAGCTTCCATATTCCATTTCTATCCTATAGAGTCGTGGTGTACAAATTTTTGTGTCAACTTGGAAATTTAGCTTAAATAAATTGAACACTATACAAAATAACAATGAGGGTCCACTCAATTCTAATGTACAGAGTGCACCTACACAATGCCACTTCATTAGAGGAGCTGCCACGTTAAATACCATGTTCAGTGTATCTAATTCGAACTCTAACGATAAGGAATATTCTTCTTGCTTAATTCATAATGCTCGTAGCCTGTAATGAACTTGCACATGCACTGTGAATCGTTCATTACTTTTAGAAAAAAATAAAATGTGGCTAATTACACTAGGCACTAATACAAGACATATAGTTACTCTAACTACAATTACATAGTAGAAAATGCCTAAAGTATCCTACTCCCTTGACTTTCTTTGATCAGAGCCTATGACAACTATGCATGAAGCTACGCTACTCTAATCCACTCATAAATGGTTTATTATAACCAAAGACTGATGGTAATTACTTACTGTTGTCACATGCTTCAATAAATTGAATAACACTAGTTCTCAAAATAAAAAGGTTGTTACAGTCGAACCCCTTTATAAGAGCAGCAATTTTCATCTTTTATAGAGATGTCTCTTATAAGCAGGGTACCATGTATGCATTTTAGTATCAGCCCGTATTTTACTGTAGGCACACTGGTGTTTCTTACACCCATTTGCCCTTATATCGGTGCCTCTCATAAAGGGGTTCAACTTTACTGAACAAATGTTTTTACAGGGGTACTTTACATTGTGCCAAGCGACATTGAGGAGTCTGAGTTGCAAGCAGAAAGGCAGATGGACTGCTCATCCTGCAAATGTATGCCCAGAACACAAAAAGCCTCTTGCAACACTGATGTTGACGTGTGTGATTTGATTGATTGATATGTGGGGTTTAAGTCCCAAAACCACCATATGATTATGAGAGACGCCGTAGTGGAGGATGTACAGAGTGCACCTACACACTGCCACTTCATTAGAGGAGCTGCCATGTTAAATAGCATGTTCAGTGTATCCAATTCAAACTCTAACGATAAGGAATAGTTTTTTTTGCTTAATTCATAATGCTCGTAGCCTGTAATGATCTTGCACATGTGCTGTGAATCGTTCATTACTTTTAAAAAGAAATAAAATGTGGCTAATTACACTAGGCGCTAATACAAGACATATAGTTGCTCTAACTACAACTACATAGTAGAAAATGCCTAAAGTATCCTACTCCCTTGGCTTTTTTTGATCAGAGCCTATGACACCTATGCATGAAGCTACGCTAGTCTAATCCACTCATAAATGGCTTATTATAACCAAAGACTGATGGTAATTACTTACTGTTGTCACATGCTTCAATAAATTGAACAACACTAGTTCTCAAAATAAAAAAGGTTGTTACAGTCGAACCCCTTTATAAGAGCAGCAATTTTCATCTTTTATAGAGATGTCTCTTATAAGCAGGGTACCACGTATGCGTTTCAGTATCAACCCGTATTTTACTGTAGGCACACTGGTGTTTCTTATACCCATTTGCCCTTATATCGGTGCCTCTCATAAAGGGGTTCAACTGTACTGAACAAATGTTTTTACAGGGGTACTTTACATTGTGCCAAGTGACATAGAGGAGTCTGAGTTGCAAGCAGAAAGGCAGATGAACTGCTCATGCTGCAAATGTATGCCCAGAACACAAAAAGCCTCTTGCAACAGTGATGTTGACATGTGTGATTTGTAGCTATCCAAGATTTCCAACTATCTTTACACGGCGTCTTGTGTATGCACTCATGTCATTGAGGTTATCAACTGTTTTACGGTTAGCATGGTCAAAAGCTGTGCCATGTTGACTTGTTCATTGTCTGCTGATTCCCAGAATCAAAGCTAAAACTTCAAATCGTACAACGAAACAGCATACGCTGATGTCACATGCATACCACCTATTTTAGAGAGCGAGAATAGGTACATTTAAGATTATACACGGCAGAAAAATATATGCCCCTTTTATTAGGACTTATTCTGTTATCTTCAGAACAATAATAAGCCGTAGCTCTCATCATGCAATGTAGAAAAACAATAACATATTGCCTTCCTAGTACTTTTCAAAACAGGAAGTGCATGCCAGATGACTATTATCGTTTGAAGTGAAGATAAGCCTCAGCTTCGTAATAAACAGCTTCTAAAGTGCACAGAACTCTTCCCACCAATAGTACAGTGCCCCCACTGTCACATTATTAGTGACAATATTCAAGAAATTTCAGACACAGCAGGCATGTTCCGTACAACGAAAGTCCTGTGAAAACACTTGCCAGCACAGCACAAAACAATATATGCATGGCAATATGAGTGCAATACAGAAGATCCAAGAAACTCCACAAATGAGGATACGAGAAAATTTTGATTGGCTACAACTCATTCGCACTTTTAAGTTTCCAGCCCCCCCCCCCCCCCCGAACGACTAGGATAATGCTGCCAAGGGGAACAAAACTCGTAACCTCATAGTTGGCAGGAGGCTACTACAGCCATTGAGCGAAACATAACTGGTTTTCACGAGAAATAACCAACGGTACAGATACATCTACTCACCAGAAGGTTCCAGTTGGCCTGCTCCAGGAACATGAAACTGGTTTTCACGAGAAATAACCAACGGTACAGATACATCTACTCACCAGAAGGTTCCAGTTGGCCTGCTCCAGGAACATGAAACACTCCCCCACATCTTCAAGTCCGGTGCAGGCCTGGCCAGAATGAAACAAACACCAGCTTGCTCATTGTAGCAGACCAATCAGGTTTCACAACACTTCTTTATTATTTTTTTTTAAGTGCTCCTCAATCGCAGCTTACCAATTAAAGCAATTACATGCTGCTCTACGGGCTTCCCATCTCCTCTTCAGATGTTGTGGTACGGCGTAGCTTAGAGTCAATGCTCAGGGTTTTTTTAGGGGATGGTGCACTGCGCTACTAGTATTGGCCACTGTGCCATTAAGTGCTACGTTGCACACATGTCAGCAGGCTAGCTGTCACCCGGTTGCATTCTTTCTCCTCCATTTGTAACAAACAACTAGCCCGCCCCCTTTTTCTCAGTCATCTCGCTTGCCTGTCAAGCAAAATCAACTGATTGCTTGCGTCAAATGTGCGGCAATCAAGTGCGAAGCCAAAGCTCGAAGCCAAACAGCACAAAGCCACGGTCCCCGGCAGCAAGATTGACCTTTTACTGCTGAGTGTCGCGAATTCCCGACGTACATGAAAACCTCGAGCAAGTAAGTTCCGAAAGGCTTGCTGCCTTTATTGCCTGCTGTCGAGTACTCACTAGAAACGTAGCTTTCAGCATAAAAATCAGTGCCATCTCGTCTAAGGTATTTTATGCTAGAACTAGAACAATTGTTTTGTAGCTGATGGCATAGAGTGCAAATCACGTGCAACAGCTCTCACTTCTGCGTTCTTCCTCACCTATGTGATGTAAATTCTATCTTCAATAATTTTGTTTATTTGGTGTGTACGAACCCAAGAGGTTCTGAAGTGTGTTTTTTGTTGCTAGGTCCTCACTTCTGTGGCATATGGAAAACTTGCGACATACATGAAAGTATGCATTAAAGCTGTAAATTATGTAATTTAACTACAGAATTGTTTAAAGGTTGCTATTTAAAACTAGAAAATGAGAAAATTTTTATTCACTTCAGCTTTTTCATATTTCAGGCCTTAAATGGTTCAATTCAGCGGTCTTATGTACTAAACCAACAATAAGTATGCCATAGTCGGGCAGTATGAACTACAGTGGCCATATGGGGTTATTTTATGTGTGTGTAAGCATGAGTAAACGGATTCATTTGCATTTCACTCCCATTATGGTGCATTGGCTGTGACCAGTAATCAGAAAGAGCGCACCAATCTGACAGCTAAGCTACCACATCTGGTACTCTCCACCACCACAGGGGACATTCCCAGAGTATGGGGAGATCTGTACATGGTGCCATGTTTTAGTAGTAGCAACGATGGCCTGCTTTTATAGAATAGGAAGTGGGAGCAAAAAAATAGGCTGCATATCTGCATGCTTCATTGCAAATAGTGAATAAAGCGTTTATTTCATGTTCTGGTTGAGAAAATTGGTAAATTGGATTCTGGAGGAACTGTGTGAGACACGAGAGCCATTTGGCAGTAATCTGAGAAAACTACATGATCTGTACATGGCCTTCGATATAGCAAGTGCGCGGCGTGCGTACGACATCTCGGAAGCCATAACTTGTAGAATGCAAGGCCACGGGTAAGTGGGAGCACCGTATTCTCTTAGCAAAGCACAGGAAGCATGAAACCAGTTAGCAAAGCGAAAGCGAGAAACCAGTAAATACGAAAGCATTAAAATACCCCATGAAACAGAAAATCTGGTGAGCGTCTTGGGTTCACCCGTAGCAAAGGTTACAGATCCCACATGACCAAGTCCATCATATTTCAACGCCAATTAAAACTCACCAGGCCAACGCCATTAACATGAGAGTCTCAGTTTCATTACATTTACAGCCAACAGGCATTGAGGGTTAACTTTTTCGAGCAAGATATTGTTAAGTTACACAATTCAGAAGATTTTTTCTTTTAAAATCTACACCAACATAGTGGCTAAAAGAAATCTGGGTGCTCTCCTGCTAGTTCTGCAAGGTCCATACTGCACCCACACATTGCCACGAGAAAAGCCACTACACGAGGCCAATTTTAGTTTTGAGGTTGGGTGTGTTACCAGTATAAAAATACTTTATTGTGAAAATGTGACAGTGTAGTAATGTCAAAACTGTACAAATGACCCCTCAAACGTTCCTTGCTTGCTCATGCTTCCAACTGTTCAATAACATTCCTGGTAGAGCTACAAGCCTATCTTGCAAAGCCAGGAAGATGAGACTGTAAGTGATGCTCATTCATCTATGCCAGCTAACAATTTTATTTGTTCATGCACCGTATGTGCGACATGCACGACTCAATTTACGCTTATTGTTACTGCACATTACGCCAAAATTGAATTATGTTCATGTGGAATGAAGGTTGGATGCAATGACATTACTCGTTAAAATATAAATTTGAGTACTGCATGAATTCAATGTGCTCTAACGACAGCAACTGCAGAGAATGCGTAAGTGGAGCTAGCCAATAAATAACACTGCATCCAATTCCTAGATATAGAAAAAGAAATGCAGTTCTCGGAAAACAATTACTACGCTACAAGACGTAGTAAGTTGTGTAAAATGCTTTGACACTTGCACATTTTCCTAAAATCTAAGAAGCTCAAGACTTTCTCATAATAATAATGGTGATGATGATAATAATAATAATAATAAAATAGACAGTTGCACCATTACTATTTCAATAATGACACTTTTTTTATTGTGAACAAGTTTTGATACGCTGAAACTTAAAATGTGTAATCACTCCACACAAGCAGTGCTGAATTTATTGAAAGCTTCTGGAGTGTTTCCAACTGTTTTAACTGAATTCAGCGCATGACACGCATGGTGGAGCACATTTAGAAATTGCGTGACCATCTGTGAATATTCTGAAACATTTCAAAGCTAGTGTTTGAATAGCCAGTGCTTTAGACGTAAGAGGCCAGTGCTTACCATTGTCACTGTATGCGCATGTCGGCTGCTTTTCTGAGCACCAGTTCAGCGATTTTTTTATCTGATGCATTTGCCACCGTAACAATGCAGCAAGAACCATGTACGGCGAAATGTAAAATGCGCGCCAAAAGCATTTGAGCAAAGGAGACAACCTTTCTTGTGTGCCTAGCAAAGTGCTGTCCTTTTTATATCACTTATGTTTCATGCAATGGTTTATATGCCACTGCCACGCGAATTGAAGACATACTACTCAGTTTTGAAGTGCCAAAATAACAACACTGCTTCCTGGTTCAACTCCAATGCGCCATACACACTTAACTGACGTGTAAGTTCCAACAAATTTCCACATGATGAACGCACATATGGTAAATTAGTTTAATTAAAGTAAGCTTGCTGAATGAATGCACTAAGTTTAATTAAAGTAAACTTGCTGCATGAATGCACTAATCACTCTTAGATTTGATACTGTAAAAAGTCATGGTTATATATACAGTTCAGCTACCCTGCAATCAAATCCCTCTGTGCACCAAGACCCGCACTCTGAAAGATGGTATGTACAACAGCCATGGTTTTTAAGATTAAGTTTCTCGTTTGCAGAGCATATGCATTTTGCTTGAGGTACTTATGAAATTGGGCACACTTTCTAATGTTTATATTTTGAATATGCTTTAAGCCTGTCACTATTTTTTTCTTTGTATGATACTTACTTTTTTTTAGATGTACTTTGCTTCTGCTGCCTTGTTGCCACAGCGATCCTAGTGATGTGGGACATTTATTGAGCTGTTTTAATTGCGATTTTTTTCCTGCTGGCAACAACCTTGTTTGCAAAAGAAACTTAAACAACAAAACAGTGTCTTCAAGTGATGCTGTCACCATTCCAGTGGTTGAAAGCGGAGGCATACGTCTATGGACCATGCCGCATGAGATAGAATCGAAAACGACAGCCATAACATTAAAAAACAGCACAGCCCCGTCAGCGACTGCACATCATCCCTTTGATGACTACACAGCACCTCAAACGCAGCGTGATTGTTCAGTACCGTAATGGTGTTTATTGGACAACACTAGGCGACAGTGCGCAATAGTGACAGTCGAGGCAAAGCATGAACTCCTATCATGAGCGGCGTTTGATCAGACAGGAGCTGGAGAAAATGACGCACTAGAAGATGCTGGAGAAATAACCCACTACAGAGTTCTTAAGCTTTGTTACAGTCAGTGTAAACAAACTACAAATTTTGATTACAAGAAAAAAAGTAAAATAACAAGAGGGTTGGTAGGATGGTAACAAGTAACTGGCATCGTTGACGCGATATCTGATATCTTATTCGTTAAGGGTTTTTTTTTGTTTCCTTTTTACATCAGTGTATATAAGCACTTTCTAAATGAAACTTAAGTTGAAGCAGGTACTCATTGTTTCGAGTTTCTATGTACCTGTTAAGGTGCTATAAAATGTTCGCATCAACTACCACCATGAATCGATACCAGATAGCATGACCCAACAGCCTGCTAAATCATTAGGTCTTTCGATTTGATGTCCCTACAAAAATGACCTGGTATCAATATGCAATTCAAGTGGAAGTGTTTTGTATATCTGTGACGGCTCTCACCAGGAGCATCAATCATGCTTAAGTGTCATGTACCAAAACAAACCACTTTGGGTGAATGCAAGCATCCCAAACCAAATGCGTCAGTGAAACACAACAAGCACATTTCCCAAGTAACGAAGATACTGCTGAGTTGGCTTGTATTGAAACAGTTTGTCAAAACATGTGGCGAAGATTACACGGATGAAGACTTTTTTTTTGCGATTTCTGAACTTCTGTCAATGCAATTGCCCTTCTGCTGAAAGTCCAGGAAACATACATGCATTTACAGCTGCAGTTTGCGAAATCCACACTGGTTTGCAAGGTCATCAACATGACCCTACAGCTTTTTTTTTCCTACTTTTTTAGCCCAGTAAGATAGCTATGCATTGGGGGACCTAAACGCCTATCTAAAATTATATTTTATCAGATAAGGACAACATTACTGACAGCGCTTACGCACTGCCTTCAAGATAGACTGTCTAAACTTCAACCAAGGTACCGATTAGAAAATACAATGAGCCAACGTCCTCCGCGAAAGCCAGAGTCAGCAACACCACAGCCTGCCCTAGAATCACGCCGGGCCTTTTGTCCTTGGTTCAATTCTTACTCAATGTCGCGATTCATTAAATTCGTCTACCGCTCGACTGCTCAGTCTACGGGGTACACATGAGTCCGCCCCACCGTTTCATGCGATGACGAGATATTCCGACGACAGGCGATGCTCGCAGAAGCAATCTGACGCCTAAGAATTCCGTCGCACGAAAAGAAGCGGCATTCGGAAAAACGCAGTGTGCAGGTGATCACCGAGAACATTGTCCGGGCGTTTCGAGTGTCATCCGGGAAAGGAATCGCATGCGATTTACAGCTGGTGCCGCTGTAGTCGTACGGAACAAAGGGAAGGTGTCAGCGACAGCTGATTTTCGAGCTCAAGGTCCGAGAAAAAGCCCTCGATTGCGCAAGAGTGGCGTCAGGTTGTTTTTTCGTGTCCACATACAACAACCGCTGTTGTAACTGCTCACAACAAAAAGAAGTGACCACGTCGGCGTTCACGACCTCGCTATACGGTTTATCAATCGAATGAACCGTGCGTCAAGTTGCACACACAACAAGCGATAAGTCGAAATAAGCCTCCGCGTTTATGAAGCACATGAGTCGCTTGCTGGCGACCGATTACACTCCGCGAGGTGCCAACTTCGCAGTGACGCTGCGCTTTGAAGTTCTCCGGGCACCAGGGTCGCGTTCTCGCAAGCGCGTCAGCCGAATCCTTGAACCCCTCAAGCCCGTGGAGACTCGAGTGCGTTCGCCCCTGGAGGAACGGCGAGCTCCCAAGAAGACGTGAAGCCCGGTGCAGGCCTACGAATCGGCGTCCTGCGACGCACGTTCCCTCACCTGAAAATCGGCCAAGATTTGGTCTCGTTGCTCAGTCATCACGTCCGTGCTGAGGGGATTCGCCGCTGCGACCAGAAACTTGCGACCATGGCCGTGGGATGTGAACGCTCATTCTGACGACGGGCCTGGCCAGCGTTGCCAACGCCGCAAGGAGCGCCCACTGTTTCTGGCCTTGACTTAAACAAAAAAACTACAAGAAGAAAAGCGCTGGAGTTAAAGAGACTACAGCGGTGACGAGTAAAAGGCGATGCGGTAAAATTGGCAAAACCATTCTTAGTTATTATAAAAATGATTGCGGGTTGACTTGAATGACTCAAAATAAACCGGTGAACAGTTAAGTGAGATGCTTTTGTGTCTGAACGATCGCAAAAACAAAACTGAGCTAGACTTGCAACCAATCTGTAACTAAACTCTAAAATCAACTGTAACAATACTCTAAAGAATTCAGAGATTTATAGAAGCTGCTCCATCAAGATGCTGCCTCAAGTATCCTCTACTTAACATTACATTGAACATAAAAACCTAGTTAGCAAGTGAACTTACCTTCGTGACGATTGAGGTTTCTTTAAAGATAAATAACGGTTCAGCAGTTTTTTATTTTTGCTTTGCAAAACAACGCATAGAAGCATGTCGATTTTAAGAGTTTATCACGAAAAATTGCTTTGGAGACGACGTTTTCTGCGTAGTGCCCTCATAAACAATTGCCTTGGAGTTCGCTAGCTTCAATCTGCGACCAATAGGTATATCACTCCACGTTGCCCTTCTTTCTTACTTTTTTGTTTTTTGTTACTGTAGTTTTTTTTTCAGTTTTTGTCTCAGCCCTCTTTAGCCAACTACATCACTCCATTTGTTCCTCTTCTTTCGTTTTTCTAGTCTTTTTTTATTTGCTTTTTTGTTCGCTTTAGTGAACTCCGTTCGCTTCATTCTCTCCTCCTTTTCGCTCCTCTCTTCGTCACATCCTTTCCTGCCACAGAGGAAGGAGTGTGTGCGTGTTTTTTTTTTCTCGCTCTTTCACTGGACGCGCTACCCCCTCTCGCGCGCTTCGCCAGCCTCGCCAGCGCGGAGAGCGTCTGCAGCGTTCTGCGGTCCGTGCCTGCGACAGGAAACATCTGTCGGCGGCGGCGCATCTGTGTGCTGTGTGTTTTGGTTCGTTTCGAACAAGGGACTGCTCCAAGAAGAGAAGTGCGTTTCCTCTCACGTGCGTGGTGTGCGCGTCTCTTTTTCTCTCACGGCATGATGCGCGCGGCTGCCGCGGGATTCGGATGGAGCAGCGCGTCTGACGCCGAGACGGCGACGACGTCGTGCGGTGCCAGCGGTGGTCGCCGAGGCGGCGGATCGTCGACGTCTTCGACCTCGGCCCAGCAGCGTGACGCCGCCGACCAGCGCGCCAAGGCGATGCTTCGCGAGGCGGTGGACGCCGTGGTGGAGAGCTTCGCCCGAGGCCCCCAGGGCTGCAGCCGAGGTGGGCCAACGCGATCACGCCGCCGCCGCCCCTGACCCACTCGCCATAAAGGGGTCGTTCGTCTCGGCGCGGACGCTGCCGCCGGCGGCACACAGGGTCGTCGGCCGTCGAGACCGGTTATTCGGGTGGCAGCACGTGCTATCGCGACGCCGCCGCGCCCGCTTTTTTCAGCTGGGGCTTGTATCTCGCAGAATGACGGCGCGACGCCAGAAGAATTAAAGCGCCGATCGCGCAGCTGGCTAGCGGACAGGAAACCTCGAATGTCATGAGCCACATCCTGTGCACATATAACATCCAGGGCAACAAATTTTAGCGATTGCTCTAGAGTTAGCCCACACTGTCAAGAATGTGTGCAAGCAAACCCTGTTAATTATATATAATGACAGCCACATATTCTTTTCGACAGGCGTCCTCAGTATCATTAGCATCTTGATCGACTATATCATAAACGAGAGGACATACCATCATTTATGAACAATCTGATGTGGCACATACATGTTTGGGTGTGAACAAGAGACCATTCTGACTGCTCTGGTTTTGGGGAAGGCAGCATTGGTTTGGTATATTATTATTTTGTTCGCTTAATTACACCTATCATTTACTTTGAGAACTATCCATTTCTAAGCATATACTGAATATAAACAATCTCATTTCTAAAAGAAAGCACTGCCTGTTTCATGGCCAATCTCCCTCAATGGGTTGTGCCAGATTAATAACGAACAACCAACCAGACAGCCAGGAATTGACATCATCCCTGGAACTAGACCAGCCAAAACGTTCTTTTCTTTCACACACAAGTGTGCACCTGCCACAGTGGATTGTTCGTGTTGTGTCAGTATAACTATTGTACACAGTGCATAATGTACGAAAACTGCCAGAAAACAAAATGAGCATCAAAATTGGGTAGAATTGTGACGACTAGACAGGGCAGTATATTTCTGGCGTGTACATATCTCAAAAAGTGTCTAACTCCGCAAGCTTTTTAGTCTTGCTCCAGCGTTTCTACTGACTAAAACGCTAGCTTCCCCTTTTTAAGCATATTGTCATGCATATATGCAAGGCTCAAGTACAATGAAGTGTGATTTGGCATAAAAAGCCCATGCAATCTTTGTTTTAATCACCGTTCAATGCGTACAGTGCTGTATACCCTTCGATCTTAAATTGCACTTAGTGGGCCATCTAATGGAAGATGTGTTGTGGCATAGTCTCTTGATATCATTAATTTTCATGTACCAGCTAGTTTTACACTCTACTGAACATATGGCACATGGTATCCACACCAGTATCCTGCTGTAGGTTTCTTTCGTGAACTGTCTTGTGCATCCATACGTAGAGATACAGCAACTACTCTGTAAATGTAATTTTTCATACCAAGCGTATGGTCTGTGATTTCACCACTGATAATTAAGAAGTTCGATGCATACACCACACACTGTTCACATTTAGCGAACATACCTAAATTCGGCTCCTTGGGAAGCTCTTTGGTTAACTTACAGATGAGCATTTCAATAAGCACGAAATGCTTTGGAAGAGGCCATGTATTGAATTCTCACTACGCCTATTTCCCAGGTTGATGTGGGGATTCGTGGTGCTTTGTCCTAAACAACAACTATTACAGCTACCTGCTACGCCAAGCCTCACCTGTTGTAAACTGCTGTCTCCTAAGTACCTTCAGTGTTCAGTAGCTGCTTCATATCAAGTGCTGTATTGTGTAAGAAAACTCTTTCAGCGGGTGTAAATTCTCGTGTTTCTAACCCGTGTAGTGTCTCGCTGCTTGTGAAATAGAGTATAGCACGAAAAAAATGCCAGCCATCTCTCGATGTAAATTTTCCACTCGATTAATAATGTACAGGAGTCTTTATGATAAGGAGTTGCTTATGTAGCGACCTGCAATCTTGTGACATTTCTCATAATGTTCACAGGTGCTTGTATTTTGAAGCTGTTGGTCAAGAACCAGTCAGAAGCTTTTTTTTTTTTGTTTTTCTCGAAATCCTCCCATTAGGCATAGTAATGGTGGTGTCAAAACTACACATGCTAATTAGCCTCATGTATGAAGTCTATATAATGATCAGTGTTAAGCCCCTGGATCCAGTGGTGTTATTGAGGCTTACTGACAATCTCTTTAGTAAAGCAGTGGTTGTGTTCACTTCTCCAAAGTAGATGTGGTGGGCCGAGCATATCGACAACATCTTTGATGTATGGCTCATCACAAAAGCTCTAGCTATCGCAAGCTGAATGTAAACTCTTGTCCTTAAAGAGGCAGTCAAGAAAAAAAAATTAATAAACTAGTCAATCAGCTTCGTTCATAGCAAGTACATGATACACACTATGGTAAACTGACTCATGCAAAAGGAGGGCCCATGGCCAGAGTCTAGTGGAAGACCAAGGTCCTATAAACTGCATGACAGGAAGAATAAAATTCTTTAGTCGTAAATAAAGCATTGTAGACCATGCAACAAATATAGATTGATTATAGAATATCTAAGTAAATCACTAAAGGAAAACAGAAATAAAGATAGAAAGCATCATGTTCATGATATTAAGCATAAGTTTTCGAGGCGACACGTAATTCTTCAGGCCAGACAGATTCTGGTCAAAGGTGCTCTTAACTTTATTTGTAACTTGGAGAGCTGCTGACACAAACATTTTCCATAAAGAGTGTTGAAGACGTGCCGATAAGCATGAGTGTGCCTTGACAAATTCATTAAAACACGTTACCAGATTGATTATGATTACATTCGGTTTCTAGTGCACCATGATCACAAGACTAAATGAGCTTGTTGTCACATGCTCACGCCACATATTGCAATGTTTTCATGGCTGCTCTGCTCTGAGGCGGTATTACTAACACAAAAGCAGCGATATTGTATCTTTTGGTGCGTGACATCATCGCAAGTGGCTGCACTGGTGCACGAGGTTACAAGAATAGGTACTGTGACGTGGCAACACACTAGCGTTGATTTCAGAAGGTGTTACATGAGAAAATTCGCTTTAAAATCGGATAAAATATCTTATCAGCATTCACGTAGCTTCACACTCATTCAACACCATCTCTGGTATTTAGGAGACTTTTATGGTGGAGTAAAGTCTGCTTTGAAAATTGGTGTCAGTACTTCTTCAATTTGGGGCATTAGTAGGTCACTCTGATACCCTGTCAAAAAGTCATATTTATTATGAGCATTGGCTTGGTATGTCAGTGAGGACAGCAGAATGAAATGTGATAGGCAACATGAGCTTGAAATTTCGGTGACAGCTTTTTATGTTGCGCATTTTTACAGCATTTTCTGAGGTCAAGTTAACTTTTACCAGTAAAACATTAATTACTACACTTCATTGTAAAATTGCCAAAAACCAAGTTTAGCTAAAACAGAAGGTTTTATTGTGCTAAATGAAGAAGAATACATGTGCATGATATACAGAAAGAGGTCCCATAGTCAGAGACTGCAAGGGGACCTCTTGTACAATGTACAATTGAGAATGATTGTGATGTACATAGCAGGGAGACAGAGCTACAGTAAAATGCAATTGAAACAAATAAAGTAAGAATATACCCTTGTAATCTCACAGAAAACATTTATAAGCAAGAATAATGCGCTAACTTCAATGACAAGTGATTACAGAACGCAACTCACAATGAACAGGAATCAATTAAGAAACAGCAAAACAGGCTAGTTAGTTGACATGATATGATTTTTTAACTTCAATTTAATTACCTTCAGGGAACGGCATACTTTAATGTCGGAAGGTAAACTATTCCAAAAACAAATTCCGGAAAAATGAATGGTTTGTTTGCCATAATTGGTGCGAACTTTTGGCAGTAGAAAGTTATTGTTAAGGGCAAACCTTGTGACATTGTTATTTGAAAGAATGGTAGTAAAGTGTGGAAGTTGGTTATTTATAGTTCTATACATGTAAATACCAAGGTTATATTTAACTAGCTCAGATACAGTTAATATATTGTTTTTGTGAAGTAGTGACTTAGCGTTAGAGAGATATGGGCTTGACGTGAGAATTCTTATTGCTTGGTTTTGAATTGTCTGAACTGAAGTAAGATGAGTGGTGTATGTGTTACCCCATGAAGTAATACAGTAAGAAATGTGCGAATGAACAAAAGAAAAATACAGTGACATAAGTATTGATGGATTGAAATAAAGACGAGATTTAATTAGTAGTCGAACGCCATACGTCATTTTTTTCCTAATATATTCAACATGTCGGTGGTATTTCAAGTTACTGTCGAGTTCAACGCCTAGGAATCTACAGCAGTCGATGTCATTGCGCGCAATTATAACAGGAGGGATAGAAGGTAAGGGTTTTTATGGTGAAGAGAAGACAACAAATTTTGTCTTAGATGTGTTAATTTCTAACATGTTATTACTGCACCACCGAACGAGTTGTGCCAGATCAAAGTTTAGTTTTCCAGTTAAGGATGTAATGCTGCTATCGGAGTTAAAAATTGTGGTGTCGTCGGCGTATAATATACAACTGGATGAAGAAAGGCATTTTGGCAAATCGTTGATATAGAGTAAAACAAAAGGAGCCCCAGAATGGACCCCTGGGGTACACCAATATTAGTTAATTTGGTTGACGAATATGCATTAGAAATTACCATCTTCTGTGTCCTGTTGCAGAGATAGATATGCAATAATAGTACTGTTGGGCCAGTTATACCGAATGCTTCAAGTTTATTGAAAAGAATGTGATGATTGATCAAATCAAAAGCTTTAGTTAGGTCGATGAAAACGCTGCCCGCATAGTAACCGTTGTCAATAGCCTTTTTTGATTTGTCAGTAAGTGAGATTAGCGCAAAGTCACTGGAGTAGCCGGAACGGCTACTCCAGTGACCTTGCTTGTGCATATTGGCCTATATTAGAAGCTTGTGCATATTGGCCTATATTAAGGAAAGAAGATGAAAAAACAAGGGCAGGTCAAGTTTCTCTAGTGCTCAAATGTTTTCCTTGACCACATGGCCCAAATATACCAGTTGTCTTTTGTATCATTCCTAGTGTGTCTACTATAAGCATACGTATGTGCAGTTTCTTCATCGGTGAGGGGAGGGGCAAGTTTTATCACAGCGCGCCCCCATCCCTTTGCATAGCTTGAATTTTTGGAAGAACACTAATGATCGCAGTGACAACTCTTTGGTTCCTGGCTTTGTGGTGGGAAGTAAACCATTCTTGGAATGCAGCACGTGTGGTCCTTGGGCACCGTTCTTGTGAAAAAAACCTCCATTGCCATAACTGTACTCAATAAACAATAATAGTAAAGTCAGGCTGCATAAAGGCTCCGTTGTTACCCCACTTAAATAATTAAGGGGGCTGCCCCTAGTAACATCTAGACTGTAAGATTGCTAACCACTGTATTGCTTGTGTTTTCCTAAATTCTTATCAAGGCACTGTTCTCAACCTTCCTTGCTTGCCGATGTTTTTCTGGAGAATCCAGTGTGGGACTATGGGACTACAACGGGGTGAATAGTGCTTTGCCCTTGAGTGACAAACTCATTCAATTGCGAGGTATGGTCATCACTGTATATGGAATTCCTATAGCTCTGTTGTGCGTTAATAAATAAAAAGACTTTGTTGAACTCGGCATCAGAAAAAATTGTCATTAGATCTAAGTGCGGGCACTACGAGCACATTTTTCTTTAGCAAGCGTTAGACAACTGCAGTAACGAAAGTCTATAATGTTGAGCTAAAGATGAGATGGTGAATTGAAAGAAATGGGGGGGTTCCCTCTTTTGTGAACAAGCTACATGCGCAGACAATATAACACATTCCTTACAAACTACCACACTAAGTCTGTGAGCTTGTCGGCATCCTAGCACCTTTTTTTTTCTTTCACCCTTTGTTCCTGGATTCAGCAGCAGCAAATGGTGAGTATCCGCATCATAGACCTGCAAGCCAATGATACCAAGGATTGTTTAGGGAGCAATATTTGTAGTTGTTTAACTGTAGTACATAGATTGCAATATAAATGTTAAAGAAATTGAAGTGGGCAAAAAGACGTTATGCTGCCAATAGCGGCTGAGCATACAAGCTTTGGATAATGCATCCGTAGGCCTGCAAGGTTAACATGAGCCAAAGTTGCTATGTATTTTTTGACATGCTAGAGCAAACTTGAGCTTTTTATCTGCCAGCAAATAAACTCCTAATCTTTTAATGTATATAAATTCATTTTTAATCAAGATTAGATATTTTTTTTGTAGTACAAATGCACTCATCATGGTGAGGAACCAAAGCGATGTAGCTAACTGTTTAGATATTTCTTAATGTAAAATGCTGTTCAGACTTTACGAAGTTAAGGTTACATTTGATGGTCATCCTATGACTCTTTGTCTTTGCACCTGATTGCCTTAGCTATTTGACACTCATGGAGGCATTTATTGTCACTGACTGTAGTCATACATGGACAACATGACTGTAGCCCTGAGCACCGTAGTCGTGTGGCTGGTCGCATGAAATACATCACTCCTTTGTCATAGACAGCACATCACTAAAGTCACAGTGGTTTGATGCATAGACTACAACACTGTAGTGACATGGCAACAATCACACAAGCTAGGTCACTGAGGCCACCAGAATTACTTAAGCAGTCACATGGACTACGTGAGCGGTGGTGTGGATTATGTGACTGCGTTCATGTGAACTAGATAACTGTAGCAAAATGTCTTTAGTTGCAAGTAATACTGAAGGTTATCAAATGAGCATTGTTTTGCATGAAATTAGCATGAGTAATGGTTGTTCTGATGCCTGCATTTTGTGGTGACGTTATGGGACATCTTGTAGAAGGGTCAAAACTGGCGCCTCATGTCCTGCTGTCTCTCTTGCCTGCAGTGAATGTGGTGGAGGCCCTGCAAGAGTTCTGGCAGATGAAGCGTCCCGGCGAGCCGGTGACGTACGAGCTCGTTCCTTCGTGCAGCCCCCCATATGTGTGCTACGTTACGCTGCCGGGGGGCAGCTGCTTTGGAAGCTTTCAGGTGAGATTACTTAACTGGACAGGATTTCATAAATGTTTTAATGATAGCACCTAAAAAGAAGGCAAGGAACTATTGGTCAGTGAAATTGGAAAACAGTAGTTCCAACATTTGAACTTAGGGTTAAGACAATGTGAATTAGAAATCAAACTTGGGTATCTAATATTCTAGTTGTGGAAGAGGCATATGTGTAAGTTCTGCAAGTACAAAGCACATAATCTGTGGTGGTCTATTGGAGTAACGGAAAAGTAGGGTTGCATAAACCAGAAGAATCGGTAACACTCTGGGATTAAAGGATCCCTGGCTGCGAAATTCTTGTTTGCGTTTTTTCCCTTGTAATTCGTAGCCTTTAGTCTGGTAATGCCAAAATTGAAGCTTGAGTGCTCCAGTGCATCTTCTACTCAATGGGCCACAAAAATTCGATGGACATCCACCGGTATGCCAGTTTTGGACATACGTACGTCCGATGGAAAAACCCCTAGAAATCCGCCAGCTGCACTATGGTCGTCTGTAGAATCCTTATGCGCTAAATATTGTTGGTTTTTCAAACGTCCGATGAGTGACAAAAACTGTATGTTCGGACACAGGACGGATCTGCACTTAGCCCTTTCAGTACGTACACTGGACATACCTGGCAATATTGTTGAAATTACCGGACATTCATCAGACATGCATTGTCTTATATGAGGCTTCACAATAGAGAGTTTAAGTCCTGGAGCCCCAAGCTGCTTGGGTACGTGAACCCTCGTGTTCTTTTGTATTCTCCAAATGTGCGGCGTTGAGTACAAAACAATGCGACAGCGTGCGCATGCAGGCAATTTGGAAGTATAGTGGCACTAAAACTCTCTAACACAATGTTCATCTTGCAACTGGTGGAGGGTGCCACGTACGCGCTACATTTATGCAAGCCTCCATTTATTGCGCATGACAAGAGCGAACGTTCTATTATAGCACACAAACACAACTGCACCTTTAATGAACGTACTCCGTGGCACAGAAGCGTAGCCAAGGGTTGGCACATCCGGCCCATGCCCCCTTGAAATATTTTTTTGCCAAGGCATAGATAGTGCAAAATGACCATTTGCCAGCCCTGCCCTCTCCCCCTTCTTCCCGAAAATAAATTTTGCCTGCACCCCTGCCAGGTTTAATGCTTCAGTAGCATCAACTTGCCTGGCTTTTCTGACAACGTAGTATGCTGCAACTAAGATAAGGACACGGCAGATAGTACAGGGTGCAGCAATCTATAATTATTTTTAAAACCTCAAATGACTTTCGAAAACAATATAAGCTTTCACATGAAATTTCATGAACAATAACGATCATATGGTGCACTCCGGGTCCTGTCAAAGAAAGTGCACTGAAGGTCACATGAGCAAGCCGTCCCAGGCCCAATGTCTTGCACAAACAGCAGTGAAGAAAAGCTGAATAAGAAAAAGTAAGTTAGCTACGTATGAGTTCGAAAACATGAGACAGATTTCCAATTACAGATCTGATAAAATGCCGTCATGTACAGTAAAAGCTCGGACGCATTTTCTCCAGCAACGAGAAAATGCATTCTGGTCAGTGTAAAGAATCTAAATATCTGATTTGTCACTGGCAGTTTTTGGTGTTCTGTGTTCACAGCCAACCATATTTAGCCTCTACAGGCAGCATGCTAGGCAAGAGATAACATCTGTTATGCTGTCACTTTTCAACTTGTTGAAGCTAAAGCAATAAGTGACTGCATCTTCCATAGCTTTGACCAGGTCTGTTAAGGACTCGGACGGGCAACAGAAGGCATGATTCTGCCGGAAGCAAGCTGGAATTCTCAGAGTGAAGCAACAACCTGCTACATTCGTTGCACTTCGTCTTTTTCACAATTTTCCGGGCCGCACAGCCACTGACGTAATAAGTGATCTGGGAGTCACTTTTGCGTCCAATGTGATCAGTGTGGTCAGGGAGGGCTTCAAAAGCATCAATCATGTCACGAACCTCATTGAGGAACCCTACATATATCAGCTCATCCAGCTTATTCTGCAATTTTATTGACTTATTGTAGATGCTCGGACATAGAATGCTGCTCAGAACTTCAGAAGGTATGTTTCCATTGGAGGGTGACTGTGCCAAACTATAAAAACTGAGGCAATTCACAGAGATCAAAAATTGTATCGGTGAAGGGTGATCATTCGATCCAGAAATTTGCTTCAGAATTCCAAAAAGATTTTAAGCACGTCTTGGCAGAGGCGAGACGTCATCAAGTATTTATAGCCCAAGGTTTTCGTGACATAATGCCGGGTGGAAAGCGTGCTGGTTAGAGTAACGCGGAGTCCTTCGGCAGTTGATTCACTCAGGAACCCACCTTCCTTAGGTGCAGCTTTTTCCCAAGTTGCTAAGAACCCGTTGATAACATGCTTGTAGCTACAGACAATGAATCTTTCGTCGAAATGAGCTTCACGCACAACGTACTTCTTTTCCTGTGGTTTGTCAGCGCGAGTAATCCCACGCTCCCAGGCCTTGCGCCATTCATCGTTGGCGGGAGCAGAGAAGAGAGACGCTTTCTTCCCTTGTTTGCGGGCCGAAACATATCCCACATTGCATCCAGGAGCCAAGCAGTGTGTTTACTGTTTACCCATCACTGTGGCATCGTCACATTGGCACGTATTGATTCCAAACAAGTCCAAATAGGCAAAGAGCCAACGTTGCGAGCACACGAGCAAGCGAATAAAAGTGATGCGCTAGCGGCTCGCGAACACTCTCGACCGATCACGGTGGCGCGAAATGAAATACCAGCACGCCTCCTTTCAAAGCGCAGCCGGGACGATGCTGACACCTCTCCTTCTAGCCATCATACCCATGCTACACCTACTGGTGTACTTCGTTTCTTGGTTCTTTGTGTTGTGACTTCGCGTGGTGCGGCTGTGTTTGTGTGCGTTGCCGCCGCGTCGCACTTCATGGCGACCGTCACAGGAGTTAAGTGGCCACAGCAGCCAGCAAATGATCTTGAAAGAAAGGTTATGATATTGAAAGATGTGAACGCAGGTGTTTCTCAGCAGGAGATAATGAAAAAGCACGATGTTAAGAGAAGCACCTTAAGCGACTACGTGAAGAACAAAGAAAAAATTTTCGAGGCATTTGACAGCGGCAAATTCACCGGAAAACGAAAACGACTAAAAACAGCAGCACACCCGAAGCTAGAAGACGCACTGCTGCGGTGGATAACAGATATGCGGAACGGCCAGCTTCCCTTGAGTGGATCGTTGATCTATCAGCAAGTTGAAAGGTATGCACTGAGAATGAACATTGAATCTTTCAGTGCGTCTGAAGGCTGGTTTGCCCACTTTAGAGAAAGGCACGGGTTGGTCTTTGGAAACATGTGCAGGGAAAAAGCAGCAGTGGATGAACGGCGTATTGCTGACTGGAAGACAACTGAGCTTTCCCAGTACCTGGTTCGTTATGAGCCTGCCAATGTCTTTAATGCCGATGAAACGGCTCTCTTTTTTTGAAGCCTTGCCGGACAAAACGATCACGTTTAAGGGAGACCCGTGCATTGAAGGGAAGAGGAGCAAAGAAAGGATCACCGTGCTTCTCGCTTCAAATATGTTGGGCACCGAGCGCCTGCCACTGCTAGTCATCCGGAAGGCACGTAACCCAAGGTGTTTTAAGAACATTCACCACTTTCCTGTGCAATATCGCGCCAACAGAAAGGCCTGGATGACTTAGGATATTTTCCAAGCTTGGCTGCTCCAACTCGACCGCCGCTTCTCCGCTAACAAGCACAAGGTTTTACTTCTAGTTGACAACTGCAGTACTCATACCAGAGTGACATGGCTGGAGTGCATCGAACTTGTATTTCTACCTGCAAACACGACGGCTGCTCTGCAACCGCTGAATCCAGGGATAATTCAGCACGTAAAAAGCAGGTACAGAAAGCAGTACCTGCAATTCACATTTTAGTGCATGTCTGAAGCGACACGCCGCCCGCGGTCATTGCTAAGTTCTTTCCGGCATAGCGGCTTTGTCCACCCTGACGACTGGAATATTCCTCCAGAGGCCACTTTAGAGGACACCTGCGAGCCCACTGGAATTATGGACGATGAGGTGAATGACGCGTTTTGACTCTCTCCTTCCTAGTGGCGTCCAGATGTTAGACTACGTCGCTATAGACTATCATGTTGCCGTTGCTGGTCCGCTGACTGACGATGATATATTATCGGAAGTGCTTGAGGAGAACTAAAACCACTGTTCCGATGATGAGGGCCAGGATGAGCTGACACGACGTCGTCGAACCGTGCAGGAGGTCGCCGAAGCCCTCGCTGTCCTCGAGGAGTTCTGCGTTTGTTCTCGCGACAGTGAACGTGCACCCCACCACCTGATGGGATGAAATAAGATCGTTCTGTCAGAAATTCTGACAGTGAGGCAGGCAAAAATAACGCACTTTTTTAAGAGATAAAGGTTTGTTTGTGCCGTGCACGTTTTCTTTCTGTTTTCATAGTTCAGTCGATAATTCGGTAAACTCGGACATTTTCTCTGGTCCCGTGAGATCCAAGTTAATGAGCTTTTACTGTATTTGTAAATAACAATAAATCATAATTGTACTCAGGTGAGGCCCATATATATATATAGATATATATATATATATATATATATATATATATATATATATATATATATATATATATATATATATATATATATGGTACAAACGTTGCACTTCGCCAGCGACTGGCCAGTATAGTTGTAAGCATGCTTGCCTACAAGTAGGTCGTCTTGTCGCTCTCACGCACACGCCCACAAACGTGAGCTTTAACACGCAGAAGAACAATATTATCTAAAATAGGTCGAGTCAGTCTAGCTTATGATTTGCTCCAGCATGTGTTCTATAGCTACGCGTTTGACCAAGATTCAACCTCCAGCAAAGAACTGTCAAACTTACTATTTTAATTACGATTTTAAACTGTTATAGTAAGAAACTGACAAAAAGTCAGAGGCACTTAATTGGACTTACCGAAAGAAGTACTTTATCCGAATGGGCGATGTTTAGCTGCAGCCTGTATCGGCAACAAGAGTGGCAAGCAGATCCGGCCATTGAACTGAAATGAACCGTCAGCGAAAACACTCAGTAGAACTTGTTTCACGAAACACTGATGTAAAATATGCAGACTATTATTTGACTCTGCATAACAGCTGCAGTAATCCATACAGGAAAGCTGAACACGCCACGCGACGACTGCTGGCTTGCCGATTGAGCCACCGCACATCGTTGCAGGGGGCAGGACAAGTTTCATGTCCGCTCGATAAAAAACACGATCATGCAAGTTCCACCAACATGCGTGACATTGTACTGTGTCACTGCTTACTCGAAGAAAGGAAGTGCCCAAAGCTGATGCCAGCTGGTGTGCACGCCAATAAGCATCTGCATTTTGCTCACGTGTGACACCCATTATTTTATCGCTCGCAGTTGCGCGAGCTTATTGTTGCAAGCGTCGTTATATGAGCGCCTTGGCTTGAAAAGAATATCTCACACGCACATAAATCCACCCAGTTTTTTTAAACCTGAACGCGCTAGCAATGACCGCCTAGTCCATGAGAGTCCGATTAACTGAGAACAGCGGCGAAATTATAAAATGGCAATACACGCGTGCACGCTATTAACAGTCTTCAGTTGCCATCTCCTAGGCTGTTTTGGGATCCAAACAATGGGAGACTGGGAATAGGGAATTAATGGTTCGCTGGTTGGCGCTTGCACGTTCAGGTTTAAAAAATGGGCAGCTGTACACTCGTGCTTCCGGTGTAAAGTCAGTTATTTTAGGAAGGTTATTAGTAATTGCATCATTTATTAGTAACACTGACGGTCACCACTCTTTTGACATGACTTTTGGGTATTTTGGCACTTTCTCGACACAACCTTCTTAGAATCATTGAGGTGGACATTGAACGCTGGCTCTTTATAGTGCCTAAACAATGTCTTGATGTACACGTTATGAAGTTGTTTGACAGATCAAGCGAGCACATTTCAGGCACTATTCTTCCTTTTTGAAAATGTCTGTCTAAGGTCTTTCCCTAGACCAAGGCGTATATAACTCTTTGTAGCCATTTCAAAAAGTCTTTAAGGTTTTGTTTCTAGGGATGTCTCGTGGATGTCCGTCTGCTGTCCAAATGATTGCGTCTACATGAAATCTTTTGTAAATATCTTTTGGATGTTCCAGACAGAAAACAAAATGGACGTAAAGAACAACTGAAATGTTATGGCCCTAAGTCATCCCTTAGATAACCAGCTCCAGACGTGGATGTTCGGCTATGATTCAAATGTCCTCTGGATTTTATGGCCCATTTGGATGTAAGAGAATGAGAAACACAGGGAGAAAAACTGAAATAAAGAGAAAAAGTACATTAAAAACTGGAAAGGACAACTTGAAAGAAAGTTGAGGAAACCTATAGAAAGAAAGAAGGCTGCCCAACTCTGCGCTTCCTTCACATTTGGCCGCACTGGCACGAAACTGCCTTAATCATTTGTTAAAATTTACTATATTTGTAGCATATAAGCCCGTATAACAAGTTGTTAAACTTAAGAAATGACCAATCAGTGTGAGGGTAATCTGTTCATTTAATCTTGAATCTGGAGTTCACGACAATATATATATATATTGCCACGTTCCTTTCCTCAAGTTTTGTTATCACCTCATTGCACTACGTTGAGTGCAAATCGCACCTACGATGTTCGAAAAGCTTCGGGGCTGTAGTAGATCGTTTTGTTAAAAGTAGGCACACTTCGTAAACATTACAGATTACTCTAGAACCTACGTCGCCTATAACGCCGGAACGTTCGATGGCAAGTGTATAAATGCCGACGCACTTCGCCGCTTGTCAGTTGATCAACAGCCGACGCTCCATTCGCTTCAAGCCCTGTACCGATCCTGCCTACATGTGAAACCTACTGGACGTCGAAGTTCATGGTGCTCATGTCCGATCTCTTGTCGACACGGGACGCGCAGCTATCGGTTATGAGCGCTGCTCTTCGCCAAAGGCTCCAAAAGGTCCTCACGCCCGCCGCAACGAGTACAGTACGAGTCGCCGATGGTAGCACTGCCTGTTATCGAAGTGTGTACAGCCCGTGTGACCTGTTGGCAACAGCTCTGCTACTGTGGTTCATACAAGATCTTGCGCCAATAGTCTGACGTGAGGTACGAGATTAACCAGATGACATGTCTCTGCTACCTCATGCCAACAGCGACATTGTTCACATCGCCAGGCTCAAGCCTTATATCCCCACCTCATTTGGTGCTCCATGATGTGCACCGGGATGGAGCTATGCCCGCAGGGAGAGTGATGTTGCGGTAAAGAGAATGAGAAAATTCTCTCTGATTGGAGAAAGACGACGGGGCTTATCTCCGCCTGAGAAACCTCTGCGATCACTGTGAATACACCAACTCTGCAACCGTGGGTGTGGTTCCTTGTCGTAACAATATACATAAAGTTGTTAGTATTCAACACTAAATAATATAGCCACGACATCTTCCCCTCGTTCAAATAATGCTAAATTCAAATAATGCCTTCTCCGGTCGCAGAAACCGTGGTATAGCACAAGCACTTAGCTGGACCCAGCTCGTATGCACCACGCGTCGGTGTTTTCTCGCGGAGAGGAAAAAGAAGACAGCTGGGCGTCCTCTTTGGTGTTCGACTGACTCGTAGATTTTTTACCACAGTCACTTTGAGTGGTGGCCACAAGTCTGCCCTTAATAAATACGTTTGTTTGACTTTGTTCGTGTGCTTCAGCATCACTACATTTCTGGTAAGGTTTTGTGTATGAGTTAGGCAGCATAGCCCCGACCCCCTGCGAGTCAATCCTGTGGAGCAGAGCCTGTGCACCAGAGGGCCAATCGTCGTCCTTGAAGTGACTATAGCCTGAGTTTAGTCCTCTTCATTTTACGCCAAGAAGAACTCATAGAATGAACACCGCCACAATGACCACTCAATGTAACACCAACGCAAGTGGTCGTTAATCAACCACTCAAGCAGTCAGTATTCCATGGCGACTCATTCGAAGACGTGGAAGTCTGATTGGACCTGTTCGAGATAGTGGCGAGCTTGAATGGATGGGACGAGAGAGAGAAGCTTCGCAAGGTATACTTCGTTCTGGAGAACTTAGCAAAGACCTGGTTTGAGAACCATGAATCCTCTTTGTCTACATGGCAAGAATTTTGACAAGTGCACCACAGACTGCAAAGAAAAGGACAGAGGCTGCTCTGCATACCAGGAACCAGCTCGCAAATGAAAGTGTGACGATGTACATCGACGACATGATCCGCCTATTCAAACGTGCGGATCCCAACATGAAGGGAAGATGTCGCGGCAATATGATATTGAATGAGAAGAAAGTTGTACAATGAGCATAATATTTTTCCCTTTTGCTTGGTCTTCAAGACGCTGGTAAGTTGAGAAACGATAATGAATAATTCTGCTTCTAGTGCGCCTGCATGCAGTTTGTCTACAAAAGGTAGCGTTCTTGCAACAAGTCATTTTAGGCCAATCACTCAGCAGGAACAAAAGCGATGAAGATTTTTTTTCTTCAAGCCATAGACCGAGGTTGGTGCAAAGCTACATTATTACCTGTTTCAGCTTCAAGTTGAGATGTCCGATCAAAGATGAACAGTTTAGTTCATCTTGTTGCTGATATCTCGTCGAACCTGCCGTATCTCAGCCTCTTCTAGAATATGGTGTCAGCCATTGTGCTTTGTTCGGCGCCTCGGGGCATTAGCACGCTGGCAGGGCACCTGTGTGCGTATGTCAACATGACAAAAAAAGCTTGAAAACAATGATTATTGTTTAGACTTGCTTTCCATTTCATCCTTGAATCACAGGAATAAATGGCTAGTGAATGCACCAAGATATAAGCTCAAAGTAGCCAGAAAACAGCCATGGCACCAATCTGAAATTTATGATGCCAGACAGGGTCTAAAAGTGTCCAGTTTGGCAGAAAGAAGCCGCCTAAGGCAACCCTAACTACCACTGCCCCCTTTTCTGACAAAGCTGAAATGGATGTGTAACCATGGCTTTGTGATTGTCGGCCATATAATGACTCGCGTTGTCACGCTTGGCTTGACCACTGGTTGTGCTCCCGTTGTTGCAGAATTGTCCGACCAAAGCAGAGGCCCGTCGCAGCTGCAGCCAAAATTGCCTTGGTCAACTCGGTGTTCAATGAGCACCCCAGTCGCCGCATCTCGGATGAATTTGTGGCCCAAGCAGTGCACGATGCCAAGGCCTCGTTTGGTGTGAGTGAATGCGACGTGAACGTCCTGTTTCATTGCTTTTTTTTTACTTGTGGATTTTCTACAAGGTTTTCATTAAGTGAAACACTGAACCCTTTCTCTGTCTCTTCTTTTTTTTTGCGCTGCTGCACACTGTATGCCAAGTGTTTTTTTCTGCATGTTACGTGGAAATTGTCTTAGCAGTGTAGCTGGATGCTGTCAGAGAGTAAATATCTCAGGGAGTCGCGCCAGTCTATATGCTTTGTCTTCTTCAACTCCATGCACTGGCACGTAGCAATATTTTTGTTGGGATTATCGCATCAAAATAGAAGTAGCAATCGTTCATAAGCAGTGACCGAACGGAATATTTCATTTTAATAAATATAGTACATAATTAAATTACCGAATGATTCTCTTGTGATGGAAAGTTCCTGAGAGACTAATTATACATTTTATTCGGAGTACAAATTATTCAAGAGTTCCTGAATTTTTTCTTCTGTGAAATAGCACACACACGCGGCATGCTGACTCACTGTGGCTGCGCTGCTGAGATGCTGGCAAAAAGACATGAGCAAGCAGACGATGATATTGCTGCGAGTGTTGCTTCAATGCGCTCAGTTTAAACCCACAGAGACTGTAAGCAATACTCAGTGCAGATCGTGTCTCAGTGTTCGAGAACAGTCACGTTTGCATTAGATAATTTTGTCAAGATTGCGCACAGGATGAGAACACTCAACATTGTTCCAGAACTTCCGTGACCACTGACTATAAGCCTGGAAAGTTCGACATGTGATGTGTAAAAGACGGCGCGTGCCAACGATGATCAGTTTTTTGACGGCCGATGCTCTGTACGTCGCTATCAGTGCCTGTGTTCATAATGTTTGACTGGCATCTTCTTGTGAGCCTTGGCTATCGATTGGCAGCGTATTATGGCCATGTTCAAAAGGTCTCGCAGGACCCATTCAAGTGTTGTACTGTAAAAAGCCAATTAGCAGCATCTATGTGTATGGGCTTGCAGTCAGAATGTAGCTAATTCTGGTCAGCGTTCCTGTGTGTCAAAGGAGCGTCTGAGCTGAAGGTCAGACTATTTTGCCATCATGGTAGTGCGCAGCATACAGAGCTGGGATGGTTATAAGTTCAGCCAGAATTTAACACTACACAAAGACCTACTCTGGAAGTACATTAATGCTACATTAACTGCAGAATTTTGATCTCTAGTGCTCCTTCAAGAATTCACTCTGTGTCACGACAGCATTGTCCATGCTAGCATCATAAGCTTCACCTTCTGGCCCACCCACGATGCAGGGAAGCCAGGGCGTGGAGGCGTTCCGCTTCATGCTTGAAGCAAACAGAGGGCGCACCATGCTCGAGTTTCAGGAGCTGATGAGCGTCTTCCAGCTGCTGCACTGGAATGGCTCGCTGAAGGCAATGCGCAAGCGCCAGTGCTCGCGCCAAGAGGTGCTTGCGCACTACTCTCGCCGGCCGCTTGACGACGAGCTGCGCACCCAGATGGCGCTCGACTGGGCAGCACGCGAACGCCAGCTGGGGCCGCCGGGTCGCGTAGGCGGCCGAGGCGGCGGCCGCTCGTGCCGAGCTCGAAGCGGCACGCCTCGCCGGTCGCGAGTTGCGCTTTCCACTCGAGAAGCAGCGCATCCTGGCGATGGCGGCACGCATGAGTAGCGATGGCCCGGCCGTACTGTCGAGCCCTTGATTGGGGAGCCTGTGACGGCTTGCACTTAATTCAAGATAGAGAGAGTGACTTCAGCTGGACTGTGCATTCATTCCCCGTGCTGCTTGCACTGTTCGTCGATGTAGGGGGGCCATCAAAGTGCCAAACGACCCCTAGTTTCTAAGCGTGGGCAGCAGCAGGAACCACAACTGCCTTCTGCTGGCTAGTGGCACCCGACAGCCCTCTTCTCATTGAAGGGCTGAAGTGTTGTCTGATCTCCACTGCCAATCACCCGATGCAGCGTCGTCCCTGGTGTGAAGCTGGTTAGTGAATGCCGCCATCTTGTTCGTTTATGTGCCTTTTAGCTTTTACTTATCAATGAGCTGTGGTTGCTATAGGGGTTGGTTGTGGGCTTGTGATGAGCTTTAGTACCCCTCTTTTTTTTATGTCTGTGTCCCACATCATTGCAGAAGACTTAGTAAAAAATGGTGAGTGTCTGCATTTAGAAAGCTCGATACAGAACAGACAAAAAGAACAAATGTTGTCATTGCCTAATTTTACGGAGTCTGAACATCCTATGTGATTTAATGTCTACATTCAAGTACACACGTGTTCAAAATGGGCTAAGGTGAGAGAGGATACACCGCTTGCTTAAGTTATCTGCCACAGTTGTATTGAGACACATGCAAGAAGGTATGCTTCGTACTGGTCATGTTTGCAGTAGTATCCTTTAAACTGTTCGTTTTATTGATCATATTCAGCCAAGCTTTGGAATCTAGACCTGTTACCATCTAGTAACTAGCTTGGCCATCTTGCAAACTTCAGCGGATGGAAACAACTTCAAGTGCCCCACAATAAGTGCCTCATGTAGCTAAGTGCCAACAGAATCATCAAATCCGAACAATCTTAAGCTAGGAATCCACTAATGCAACCACTTATTTTCTTGTATTTCATGTGCCAACTCAAATGTGGTGAACCTTGCTATCTAAAGCAGACTAAGTAAGGCTACACCTCATCGCACCAGCTTGACGCAGGGCTCTGGAGGCAAGAGTTTATGTTGGCCGATTGGAAGCAAGAGTGAGAATGGGAGAGGGCTCGTCTGTTTATTAATGTCATTAACTCTGAAATGAAGCATCTGTTCAACAAGTGCTACGCAGAGGGCAATCTGTTGCAAACAGTGGAAGAGTTTTTGTAGTTGTTTGTTCTGGTTGACTCTTCACGACCAATACCTTTATGCTGCAGTGCATAGTGTTTGTGAGATGGGCTGTTGTTACATGGGGTCAGTGATTTAGCACATTTTTGCATTTCTTTACTGAGATCTGCTCTACCGTTTGTTGAAAAGCTTGTCATAAAGCATTTGACAGTGTTAATGAGCACTAGTTTCCCGGACTTTGCTAGCTCGTGACCCAGCTGCCAGATCCATTGAAATACAGCTGTAGTTGAAAGAAAGGGCCTTTTTTTTGTTTCTTTCAAGATCACATGAAACCATGAAAAGTGAACTTTTGTATCATGGAGCTGGCATGAAACATCCGCTGCCATACGTAGTGCCAGCCTCTTCACCTTTTTTTTCTGATTCTTGTTTCCTTTTCCTTTTTTATTGAAGAACTGACTGAATGAAGCTTATGCCTGGTATGCATAATGGGACATTAGGTTTGAGAACTTATCACTCGAACCTTTGCCAGCTTTCTGGAAAAGGCAGCTTTGTCACTTTTTTTAAACTATGCTTCAGCGAGACATATGAACTGTTTATGAAAAATAGAAGTGCATATTCATTCCACAACAAACTTCAGTTAGAGGTACTATTTGCTAGCACCTCAAAATATTACTACACTACTTAGCATAGTTTTCATTATTGGAATAAAAGGAAGATCTTCCAATGGTAAAGGTGCGTGTGTACACTGTTTCTGCTCTTTCAAAAATGTATCTGTCTTAATTAAAAATGCATAAAGAATTAACTATGGGTTCTGATCTTTTTGGGATTGTATAAAAGCCTTAAATTGAGCAGGAATTCGTTTCTTTGTTGATGCTTCGTTTCATCAATTGTTTTCTATTGAAGGTAGCATGTGTATGAACGTGAGCATGCTATCGACATATTGTGCTCTTGGGCTGTGCTTTTAAGTGGACTTGAAGAGGAAATGAACTGAACTTATATCGATAGGTGTAGCTACGAAATCGCAAAGAAGTCAATCTTATTGTGACTCGAAACTCGCTAACATTGTCTTGTGCTTTTGCATAACCTCACGCATTAGATCTCCTCTTGACATTGTGAGCTCTTGTATGTCCAAAAGTGATGCGTAAGTAAATATTACAATACTTTATTGCATACATTTCAACATTAGGAGAAGCGTAAACTTAACAACACGGAAAGACTTTTTTGAGAAAAAGGAGCCAAAATGCATAAATATACCATAAAATCATGGATTGCATGTGAAATTAAGATACAGATAGGTTTGCCCTACATACTTTGTATTTATACAAAAATATTCATTTTGTTACGAACAGTGCAAGTAGGAACTCAAGAACAGCATTATTATTCTTGGCTTGTTTGGTGTATTTCTTGAAGTTTATTTTAAAGTAAATGAAAATAGATTGGTTGGTTGTGTCAGGTTTTTTGTTGAAAATGCCACCATCGCTATACTGCTCCAACATGAGGTGTTTTTTGGTGTATGTGGGAAGTTATAGGAATACATTTGAAGAATTTTATAGAGAAGGTGTGAGACTTGATGCTGAACTTCTACGGCTTTTAGGAATCTGAGAAGATTTATTGGTTATATTTCAAGTTGAATCTGATAAGATTTATTGGTTATATTTCAGAGTTGTCTCCTATAAAAAATATGGGATAAAATAAGATTTCTTATAGTGTAAGGGCTGAAAAAGCTCTATCCATTCCCTATCTAGTTTTGTAGATTAGATAAGGTTTCTTCACAGCTCTGACAAGTCGGTTGCTGTTTTTTTTTTATGTAGAAGATGATTCATTTAGCAGTCCCAATTAGTAGTTTGGCACCAAACCACTTCTATGAACTGTTTCTAGTGTCTACAAGATTTCAATTTTCTGAGCATTGGTTTGATAACATGAAGTTTGTCATTTAAGTATTCATCCAGCTTTAACTGACGTTTGTTCACTGCTCATCAGAATGCTACTGTATAGTAGGTAGACGGCATTTCCAGGTCTTTGGTGGTTATTTTCGATGCCATGCATGCACTCTTATCTGCTCCTTCTTTTCTGCTTATACTAACATGGCTCAGAATCTAGCAGAATTTTAAAGCTTTCCTGATTTCACTGTACATGAAAATACACTAAGGCCTCGTTGTAACAAAGTACGCCATACATAAAAATAGCTTCTGTTATATCCCTTTACAACCAGTATCCTTGTTTGTAGACTTATACTTTTGCCATTTCTTCAGGACTGCTGGTAAGGAAGAGACTGCAAGCAGTAAGCCAATAGTAAAGTAAGCATTCCTGTTGCCTCATGTTTTTTTACACTACTTCTGGTTGAAATAGGTTGAAGTATTTATCTAGACAAAAACACATTGACGAAGGCAATAACTTATTTGACGAGACATTGGATGCGAAGCGCATCAGTGGGAATTAAATTTTTTTTTGCCTTTTTAGGAACGTTGTTGGCAGATGATAATTATCGCATGTAATTTGAGTGGGTCATTGAATGCTGCTTGTGAAAAATAAAGCATGACTGACTGTACAATGAGTAGATAATTACATACATTGTAATTATAGTGAATTGCTGTAGTATACTTATAAGTTATTCTAACACCTCCACTTGCTTTACATTTGGTCTCCAGAACATTGAAGTCAAGTTATATGAGTTTTTGCATTTCTGGCATTTGACCATAACGTATGTTGCAAAGGTATGTTCGGTAAGTCATTATGAGCATACATTCATAATGGTGGTGATATTGCTTATTTACTTCATTATAACTGATAATTCGTTCTATTGAGGCTCGACTCTACAAGACTCTTAAAGTATCACTGTTGGATTTGCAACTTTTGCAAGTGCATGAGTCAAGTGCTTGCAGTCTCAACTAATGATGATCACACAATATTGGAGGTTGTGCGGTATCCACCTCCCTACCGAGATCTTTCACTTTATATACACTAACATTTCTATTAGCTGCATATATAGGGTGTCCCACATAACTTTAGCCAGAGTTTAAAAATACGCCGGAATGCGTAATTATGGCGACCAAATGCATGTCGCTCACCCTTGCCTGGAGTTAGATAATTTTTTGTGTTCCCAAATATTATTAATTAGATATGTTTAATTAACTAACATTGAAGAAATGAAGATAGATAAAAAGTTTCAATGAGAAAGTTGTAGATCGGTTTGCAAAATGTCCGATTGGACAGTTTTGAACTTTATATGTGTTAGGTATTAGTGTTTTTCTGCTAATTACAAATGCCCGCGAAATACAAAAAATACCACGTGACAAACCCGCTCGTGTGCCAGTGCGCACAATGATTCTAGTGCTCCCTAACATTCCGCGTACGAACAGCCATAGAATTTGCCCCATTGTGCTGTCTCCGCAGGGCCGCAATGATGTTGGTGCCTTTACGATGAACACATGTTACTATCGGCCACAAAAACGATAACTACTGTGACTACTTATCGCTGTCATAAACTAGTGCGAGGGAAGCGTGTAGTTTGTACTCGGAACGTTAGAGGAGCACTAGAATCGTCGTACGCACTGGCGCATGAGCGGGTTTGTCACGTGGTATTTTATGTATTTTGTGGCATTTGTGAATTAGCAGAAAAACACTAATACCTAACAAATATAAAGTTAAAAGCTTTCTAATCGTACATTTTGCAAACCGATCTACAACTTTCTCATTGATATCTTTTATCTATCTTTGTTTCTTCAAAGGTTAGTTAATTAAACATATCTAATTAAACAATATTTGAGGACACAAAAATAGTCTGGCTCATTCCAGGCAACGGTGAGCAACATGCATTTCGGTCGCGTCATAATTACGTTCTGGAATATTTTTAAACTCTGGCTAAAGTTACTTGGGACACCCTGTATGCATATGCCTTGCAGTGCAGATGTGTTTAGGTCATTCTTTACAAGATTATGGGACAAGTTAAAGGTATCATATCATTGGCTAAGCAGTCTTTCGTAGAAGCCAATTGCAAATCTCTCAGTAAGTTCGAGAAACTTGACGTTGCGAGTCTCTTACTGACTACGCATTCAAAGTTAGCAAGTTTAGTATAGCATTGTTAATAAAACGTGCGTTCTTAGTAATAATGAATGATCCACGATAATCTTGATGACTGAGTAACGTTGCAATGTAGCTTCTTTCTTTCCAATGTTTACACTTCCTCAGCATGTGTAGAGAGAACAGATGTACGATGTTTTTGGCCTTTAACACTTAGTCCTTGTCTAATGTCAATGCTTCTTTCACTGCTATTTCTTAAGATTTCCTTAGTTTTGCATGCTGTTAAAGTCTATATTGATCACCACTTGGGAGTGCCGACGAGTTTGGAAACGGCATCATTATTGCAGTGAGCACTACACAATGCAATAGACATACCATAGAACTTTGACAATACCCACGCAGATAAGTTTTGTAGACAACTGATACTGTAGGTGTGAAGTGTGGACGGATGGCTGCCCAGCTTACCTGTGATGAGTCGTCAGTTTGCGCACAACTGATGCATAATTGTGTTGTTGCTGATAATGTCATGAGAGAATGACTGTGCTGAAGGTAATCATTCTGTGTCGACATGAATTTCAACATGTCTGGCACCAGTGCCCATTTTCTTTTTGCCTGTGAGACCTGAGTTTGGTGGACGTTTTGTGATTCGTTGAACGCTGGTCATTGTATGGAGTGTGACTGCTTCTGTACATCATGGTGTCGAAGAGTCTTGAAAGTTTTTTAGTGCCTTCTGCATGTGCTCGCTGAATGGAGAGTGACTGCGCAAGTTTTATTTGCATGTTTGATTGTCCGTATCTAACTGATGTATTTATTTTGCTTTTAGACTTTTAGAGCTTTGGCCACATTTACGGTGTTCATATGTATACAGTGCAGTGTGTCATAAATATACAAAAAGCGCAGAGAGCTTATGAAGAAAAGTTGCGCTTTAGAGTTGCATGAAAGTGACAAAC